CTGTTTTCTCAAATGCGACTTCATTGCGTGAACGTCATATGTAACAGTAACTCTAGATACAAGGATCGCCCGAACGATATGCTGAAACACACTATAAGCTGCCATGTTTTAAGCAATATTTGTCCGCGGACCTTCTAAAAATATTACGCTATGACGTTTTCCGGTCTTAGAAATGACAAAGCCTATTGCTTTAAGTTTAAGTACCCCGGTAGGCTAAGACTAACACAAATTGTTAAGTCAAGTCAAATTAATAACAATAACAGCAAAAATAATTTACTTATCTATAATCAGGCTTGTCTTCATTTGCTTTACATTCAAATCAATTTTATTATGATGTTATGTTAGCTAATTTCACCATGTAACATTTCTAAACCTAAGGCTGGATTTTCAAATGCTATACTAAGATACTATGTGAATGCGATCTCAGTACAATTCTTATTATTTCTGTCAGTAAAGCCAGGGGAAATCATAATAGGAAATTAGTAAAACAAAGTAACGTCATACCTGAAAAAAGGAATGGAACAAAACAACAAATGTGTCGGCAGAAAGCCTTCGTCAGTGAACAAACAGAATAAAATTTAAAAATAGCTTTTAGCTGAAAAGTAGTATCCAAGAGGGTAGCAAATGAAATCATGTTCCTTGGTTTTACCAAGCATTCACCATAATTAGTATTGTTTTCTGTCCTCAAATATTTGCTTTATTTATAATACCTTAAAAAAACAATGCATGTTTGTCTAAATTTCATATATATAAATGATTATCTTTTGTAACAGAACACTTCAAAAGAGAATTTGGTGTTCCACATTTTTATCTTAAAAGTTTTATGCTTCAGGGAAATGAATTGAAGAGAGCAAATCAATATTTGTTATTAATGTGTTGTTGTTTTTTTAATCTGAATTACTTTCCAATTCGTGTTTTCTGTTTTAAATTAATAACTTGAAAAAAAATGCATGTTTGTGTCTAAATTTCATATATAAATGATTATACTTTGTTACAGAATACTTTAAAAGAAAATTAGGAGTTCCACATTTTATATTTCAGAAAAATGAATTCATCGCACGTGTGCCCACGCCTCCTTGTGTCTAAGTTTAAGTCACATTTACTACTACTGTCCCATTTTCAGAAAATGAAACCACGATTAACGCCACACAATTTCTACTCTTGGTATAACAGCTCTCATAATTTATTACTTAAGCACAGACATTCAGCTTTCTCCAGTTTTTGTACCTTGCGAACATTTTCTTCATCCTCTAAAGCATTTTTATTCTGGAAAGAGACGAGTAATTTGACACCTAGCTTTCAAAAAGTAAAAACTACAAGTAACCATGATGGTAAAACACTGGTTGATAGATATATATTTGTGAAAACTTTGGATCATTTTTATGAAGATGTGCCGAATGGGATTATTTTAGACACTGCTTATGCAGACTCACGACCCGGAGAAGACTTTGACAAAAATTCACCTGTAATTTTAGGACTTCATGATACGCCAGGTAGTCACCATGACCTGCTACCTATTCTAGGAACATTTGCTAAATTAGGATGTCGAACAGTTGCCCCAACATTTCCAGGTAAGCTTTTCAATCTTTTGCATACAAAAAAAATAGGAAACCTCAATAAACATTTTAAGTACTCTATTATTCTTGCTTTTTAAGGACTTTTCAAAAATAATTTTCTTGTTCAGTAACTATTGGCAACATGGATTACTTTTGTGTACTAAACCAGGACAGCAATGACATTTTTCTCCAAGGGAAACCAACAATAATATTAAACTTGTGATGATAAAAATTGTTGCTGTGTCCCCTGCTAAAACAAATCCCTTTAACCTTGATGCCTTCATAACAGACGTGTATTCAGCAAAGTCTATTTAAACATAAATAAATCTATCTACACGTCTCAAGGTCATGGTGACACTCAAGGCTTAATGCCAGGGTTTGATGATATTTTTAGCCATTCAACAAGTGAAAGATCCCAGTTTGTTCATAACTTTTTGGCTGATCTAGGCATTGAACGGTGAGAATCCTTGATCATCTATTCAAATTTAGTTTTATAATTTGTGTTAAAGTTTAACTACTTTATTAAAATTTTCATTGTTATTTTTCAATACCATTCTTAAATCAATTAGTAAATATTTTTAGGAAGACTAAAGAAAATTATTTTTTTTAACTGAAATAAAAATTATTTATAATATTTCTTGATATCTTTTTATTAACAAAATTGTTTTTGGAATTAATAACTTTCAACTGATTGAAGTGATTGCATACAAAGACCAAAGCTGCAATAATTATGAGAGTCATAATGTTGGGTTTTGTAATCGCAAGGTATTTATACATTTATTTCCGCAGGGTTGACATAATCATTGCGCTCGGTGCTGCCTGCTACCCAGCCATGCGTTTGTGTGCTGGCGGAGATACAAATGATTTTTATAGATCTATGGCTCTGATCTCCCCATGGCCATTAAAGAGATCAAGGTTTGTTATTATATTTCACTCCAATATTTCAGATATCTGAAAACACTCATGTCATCTATACTAAAATTGCAAGAAAACATTTTGGTTTTGAGTCTTACCTTAACTTCCACCTCTCCACTGCAATGAATTGCCCCCCTTTGAAGTTAAACAAGGGAAACAAGGGAAACTGGCAGTGGTTGAGTCTTTGGTTTATATAACCAGACAGGTGACAACCAGCAATGACAACAGATGTTATTAGTACCCTGTTGCCATCCAAGCTCGGTGTTGGTCAGTGTTATATGGTTGCACTAATTATTTCCCAACTGGTCAAGAATCAAATTTTTATGTTTGTCTGGAGCTGATCATAATGGTCTTAATTTTGGTTATCTAAACAACCATCGCTCATCTTACTTTTCAACTTTGTTTTTTACCAGCTTAGATTAGACTCTTGCGTATTTTAATATATATTTTGGAAATATTTCTTTTAAGCAGTGATGTCGATCATGAAGTCATCTCTTGAAGAATTCGGGGAATGAGCTTCATTTAGCTGTAGTGAGTGAAATAGCAACTCAATGTTTTAGAGATGAACAATGATGGGAGTCTTAAAATTGAAACAAATTTATCTCATCAATGCGGAGTGTTCCCTTCACTTTGAATTATTGACCCCCACAACCCCCCACAACCCCCCACCCCCCCTCCCCCTTTAAATTTTTGTCCCCCTCGTGTGATTTTTGTCAGATCCACCTATTGCCTTTAAGATTAGAAAATAGTGAAACAAGGCTATGTTTTAGGCTTGAAATGGTCAGACAGGACCATTAATAGGATTTTTCAACTAGTTGCTTTCTTCAGCAGACAATACAAAGCAAGAAACAATAGATCATGAGTAATCGAAAACTTATGTGCTCGACAATCTCAATAATGTCACTGTAGCTCAAGCCACCCTTCCACTCCAATCACTTGATTTATTTAAAATTAAAATATAATTTGTTTTTTCATGAACTGTTATTCATAAAATATGGTTTTTAAATTTCACATAGATATGAAGCACATGTTGACCTATCAAAGAAAATTCAGTTTTTATGGGACCGGCCTTTTCTACGCCCCCCAGCCAAACTACTCCTGCCGGTGTGCAAGGTGGGAAATGTAAAAAACACCAGAGATAAAGTCACCACCGCATACCTGTTGAACAACCTTGACCTTAATGAGGTACGTAGTAGACATTGTTATGTCGATTAGTAAGTTGTAATACTTGATCACTTTGCTAAGGCCTGCGATAACTACAACCTTGCTATCAATACGAACAAAACAGATCTTGCACCAGCCAGCTCCAGAGAAAGCTTACAAAGAACCTAAAACATCAGTGAAGGGACAAAATCTCCAAGCAGTAGAAAAATTAACATATTTAGGAGGCCCCACTCTCTCACTAAGCTGAAGGTATATAGGGCAGTTGTATTGATATCACTCCCATATGCAAGCAAGATGTGGACAGGAGACAGCTAAACCATACCCACAGTGCAATGTCTAGGTAAACTTCTTGGTAAAAGATGGCAGGACAGAGGTCCTACACTGGGCCAATTGTATCAGCATTCACCCATTCCTACAAAATGGACAAGCCAGATGGGCAGGGCATGTCCCGAGAATGCCAGACAGCAGGCTTCCCAAACTAATAATCTTCGGTGAACCCTCCAGAGGAAAACGCTCAGTTGGTGGGCAGAGAAAACGCTTTCAAGGACTGTCTAAAAGTTTCACTTAAATCCATGGATATTGACCTTGATTTGTGGGAGGAACTTGCCATGGACCATACAAGCTGTCATGGCAGACTCACTGTCAGAGCAAAATCCTCAGAGAAAAGTGCACCATTCACACCGAAAGAAAGCGCACAAGAAAAAGCAGAATTGACTCAAATCCTAATAGGACCCATAACAATCTATGTCCCATGTATGGGAAAACTTTCCGGGCACAAATAGGACTGGCAGGCCACCTGCGTACTCACTGTGTAATATAGCCTTGGTCATCTTCACATGCGAAGGATGAACAACAACAGGTTAGTGTGTTGTACCATCAAGAGGTACAGTAGTAGACATAGTATAGATCAGTGAGTTGTACCATTAGAGGTACAGTACTAGACATTATTGGGTAGATCATTGAGTTGTACCATCATGAGGTACAGTACTAGACATTATTGGGTAGATCATTGAGTTGTACCATCATGAGGTACAGTACTAGACATTATTGGGTAGATCATTGAGTTGTACCATCATGAGGTACAGTACTAGACATTATTGGGTAGATCATTGAGTTGTACCCTCATGAGGTACAGTACTAGACATTATTGGGTAGATTATTGAGTTGTACCCTCATGAGGTACAGTACTAGATATTATTGGGTCGATCATTGAGTTGTACCATCAAGAAGTACAGTAGACATTATTGGGTCGATCATTGAGTTGTACCATCATGAGGTACAGTAGACATTGGGTAGATCATTAAGTTGTACCATCAAGGGGTACAGTGACATGGGTTTGTATCTTAATGAGGTGCAATAGTACACTGGAAGCAATTTTTATCTTAAAATATATAGAATATAAGCTGTTACAATTATACAATTTCAAAAAGAACAGCTTGATGTCCTGTAGCTTCTACTAAAGAAAGAGGGAAGTATTTTTTTTTAAAATTGCACCACATTCTATTAATTTTTTTTAAAATGTTAACATTTCTTGTTCTTTTAAATGAATTGTTCTTACCCATTAATTTTCTTGACCTCAGGCAACAGGGTTGGCATTGGCAGCTGGGATAATGAATATGCCACGCTTTGTTATGTTCGGAGAACAGGACCATGATGTCGAGAAAGAATTGTACTATGACTTGGTGAACAAACTAGAGATTCCCAGAGCAAATGTTTCTATGTTCGAGGGAAAACTTGGTATGTTGCTAGAAGAGTTTAGGTTTTTTCTTTATTGGGGATGGGGGTGGTGTCAAAGCTCTAAATAAATTTATTTCAAAATTGAGTAGGGTGTGCAAACATGGCCTATTTATAATTTTGGGAATACTGGTATATTTAAATAATTTTTTGCTGATGTAAATGTAAGGGCAACATCTGTAATAAATTTCCACTCGTGACAAATATAAAATTTTAAATATTTCCGAAAAATTTTTTTTTGAAATCTCACATGATATATCGGTAACAAATAAGTTTTTCCTTTTTTTTACAGGATCGCCATTGCTTCCTGGTGCTCTGGTATTTCCAGAAGGAGGCTATGACCTACTTCAAAAGTACTCTGGAATTATAAGCATTTGTCTTTTGGACCTTCTCAAACTTTTCTACCCCAATATACGAATTTGATACCTATTTGTAATAGTAGTTTGTCATGAACAGTTTTTTTTGCGTGATCAGACAAAAATATTCATTACCCCATGATGGGTTCTAATGTGGACAACTTATTTTTTTTTAAAATTTTCTTCAGAGAGAGACTTATGAAGCAGTCTTGTCCTTAAAATAAATACATTGCAAAAAACCATCTAAGATGCTTTCTTAAATTCATGAGTCTAAATATTGCCTTGACTAAATGAGTATTAATAGACCAGGTTTTTGATATGTTACAAAAATATTGCTTGTTTTGCTGACCTCAAAACAAAGAATTCCTCTTTGTGACTGTAGACTTGCATTTATTTTTTTTTTAGCATTAAGGCTTTACCCAATGACTTGAGTACCAAGCCAGTGCTGTATTGGTAATAAAAAATATTTCATAAATAAATGCACATAAGCTTACTGTTTCCTAAATTCTGTATAAAACTTATGCAGAAATTTTCATCCAAATTATTATACAATAAACTTCCAAAAATTAGCTCAAAGCCAAAAAAAATGTACCATAAAATTATTAATATGGGTAGATGGAAGGAAAACCTAGCCCTTTGGTCTTCTGTTGTTTTTGTGCAGTACAAGTGATGTTATTAATATGGGTAGATGGAAGGAAAACCTAGCCCTTTGGTCTTCTGTTGTTTTTGTGCAGTACAAGTGATGTTATTAATATGGGTAGATGGAAGGAAAACCTAGCCCTTTGGTCTTCTGTTGTTTTTGTGCAGTACAAGTGATGTTTCACCCTGACAAATGCTCCTCACCTTATGTTGAATGGATTTATGCAAGGAAACCATGCTCAGTGAGTGCATGTGAGTTAGTTTATAAAGAGGTTTCTTTTACATTATGATAAAGGGCATTTTGCGGTGTTATCAGTTTGTACAGTTCCATGCGCTAGTTTAAACCAGGGGCCTGCAAACTTTTTTTTGAGTAAGGAGCAATTTTTTCAATGATATCTTCTAAGACAATATTTAGGAGCTGGAAGTATGGGCAGATTTTGTTTTAACGACATTAAAGATCTAGGCTGGTTTTATAAAAGGAGAAGTCACATTAATTTCTTCATGTGGGCCAGGGGCCCGCACGCTTTTTTTTGGAGTGAGGAGCAATCAAATCCTTTCAGTCTGAACAATTCATCTCCATGCCAATATTGCCCAGCTAATGTCACAAACAGGAATTTTTTTTATTTAAATAAATAAAAATAGAATAACAAAAAAACACAAAGTAAAGTATTAAAAATTATAAGAGTATTTTAATCGTAAGCTTCCAGTAAAAACCAGACTGAGAACCCCAATAGTAAAACAAACATGGTATTAGTAACTGAAGTTGGGATGAAACTGACTTGTACGGCTGGATGTACAAACCCAAGTCAGAGCCATGTGCCGGCATTATGCAGGTGAAAAACATTATGATATGAGTAGCACGCTCTTGAGTTAGAGCGCCTCGCTGGCAAAATATGCAGTTTATTGAAGGTAGAAAGCTTAATTTTTCAACATTTTTCCCTATTTTGGCTGTTGATAAAATTGTTTAATAACAACTTTTTATAATTATAACTAGTTGTGCATATTCATCAAAAAGTCAGCGAGGTTCGAAAATAATATTTTCAATTTTGTAATTTATATGCTTAATTAATGTCTTTATAAACGTTCATATGTAACGTCTATTACTCTTTGTTACATTTGCCATCTATCTTGGAAGCCATAAGAAATGTATTTCATGAAAGTCATATTACAATTCAAGTTAAAGTAGGACATTTTTACTCATACATACAAATCATACTCATACTTAAAAAAATAAAAATATTGGTGAGATCACAGTTTGACCAAACGGTCAACAATTTGCAAGCAGCGCTATTCGTTCTCTTAGTTTACCAACATTATGTCATGCACTTGCACCCAGTGCTACCCATGATATTAGTCTACCAACATTATGTCATGCACTTGCACCCAGTGCTACCCATAATATTAGTCAACCAACATTATGTCATGCACTTGCACCCAGTGCTACCTATGATATTAGTCAACCAACATTATGTCATGCACTTACAACCATTGCTACCCATGATATTAGTCTACCAACATTATGTTATGCACTTGCACCCAGTGTTAGCCATGATATTAGTCAACCAACATTATGTCATGCACTTGCACCCAGTGCTACCTATGATATTAGTCAACCAACATTATGTCATGCACTTGCACCCAGTGTTACCCATGATATTAGTCTACCAACATTATGTCATGCACTTGCACCCAGTGCTACCCATGATATTAGTCTACCAACATTATGTTATGCACTTGCACCCTGTGTTACCCATGATATTAGTCTACCAACATTATGTCATGCACTTGCACCCAGTGTTACCCATGATATTAGTCTACCAACATTATGTCATGCACTTGCACCCAGTGCTACCCATGATATTAGTCTACCAACATTATGTCATGCACTTGCACCCAGTGCTACCCATGATATTAGTCTACCAACATTATGTCATGCACTTGCACCCAGTGCTACCCATGATATTAGTCTACCAACATTATGTCATGCACTTGCACCCAGTGCTACCCATGATATTAGTCTACCAACATTATGTCATGCACTTGCACCCAGTGCTACCCATGATATTAGTCTACCAACATTATGTCATGCACTTGCACCCAATGCTAACCATGATATTAGTCTACCAACATTATGTCATGCACTTGCACCCAGCTCTACCGATGATATTAGTCTACCAACATTATGTCATGCACTTGCACCCAGTGCTACCCATGATATTAGTCTACCAACATTATGTCATACACTTGCACCCAGCTCTACCGATGATATTAGTCTACCAACATTATGTCATGCACTTGCACCCAGTGCTACCCATGATTTAGTCTACCAACATTATGTCATGCACTTGCAACCAGTGCTACCCATGATTTAGTCTACCAACATTATGTCATGCACTTGCAACCAGTGCTACCCATGACATTAGTCTACCAACATTATGTCATGCACTTGCACTGAGTGCTACCCATATTAGTCTACCAACATTATGTCATGCATTTGCACCCAGTGCTACCCATGATTTAGTCTACCATATGTCATGCACTTGCACCCAATGTTAACCATGATATTAGTCTACCAACATTATGTCATGCACTTGCACCCAGTGCTACCCATGATATTAGTCTACCAACATTATGTCATGCACTTGCACCCAGTGCTACCCATGATATTAGTCTACCAACATTATGTCATGCACTTGCACCCAGTATTACCCATGATATTAGTCTACTAACATTATGTCATGCACTTGCCCCCAGTGCTACCCATATTAGTCTACCAACATTATGTCATGCACTTGCACCTAGTGCTACCCTTGATATTAGTCTACCAACATTATGTCATGCACTTGCACCCAGTGCTAACCATGATATTAGTCAACCAACATTATGTCATGCACTTGCACCCAGTGCTACCCATGATATTAGTCAACCAACATTATGTCATGCACTTGCACCCAATGCTAACCATGATATTAGTCTACCAACATTATGTCATGCACTTGCACCCAGTGTTACCCATGATATTAGTCTACCAACATTATGTCATGCACTTGCACCCAATGCTAACCATGATATTAGTCTACCAAAAAATTTTTTATACACCCAGTGCAACTCCTACTGATAGTATATCAACATTATGTCATAGACCCAGTCTGGCTTTTCCTTTCATGTTCCAGGGCGATGCACGAGGCGGTAAATATTAAATCTAATGCCCAGTTAGGTCGCACTGCTCACACCGCCCTTGGAATGAAACCCCCACCTTACGACAAACTAAAGCACTTGTTTTTAAGGAGAAGAGAGGCCAAAACAGAGCCCTGTTTCCCCTCTTACTACTCCATCCCACCTATTTATGGCATTCACAATATTTGAACAGACCAATGTTTATAATAAGTAATGGAAATCATGCAACATATCGAATGTGTGCATGTCACATATTACACGAATACAACTACAGCACTGAGGATTTCTAGAAAATGTACAATAATCATCATTATAAACAACTGTCCTAAAAATAGATGAAATTCTTAAATGATAATGGCATAATCATAAAACAACTAAGTTGAATTGACGCAGATGGATTTTGGGCTCAGGAAACATTTAGGGGGCATTAAGTTTTCCCTAAATGATTCTTGAGTTAATGAGAGGCATTGTGCGACTGAAGGCGGGCCTTCTGCTTTGTGATGACACCGTCCCTGATCATTGATTGATAAGCATTTTTTTAGTCAGACTTTAAGTACCGGTACATAAAAAAATGACATTATTATATGTTTGTTAGGTTGTAATAAAATTATTTTGTAATAATAAAACAAATTGTGAAAGCATTATTCTAAAAGGGATTTAGAAAAGTAATAAATTTGGTCAACTATTCATACAGGGGAAATAATGCAAGATAAAGGGAAGCAAAAACATTAAAGATGAAGTAAATAAGATGAAAACACAGCTAATAGATAGTGGTCCCAAATAATTTTCAGAGTCCTTAAACAACAAAAAATATATTTTTAACCTTTTTACAGATTATATACTCTCAATAAAGCACTAATTTTAACACACACAAATTATTTTAATTATATTTATAAAGTCTATCAACTTGGTGAACATGGAAGCATCCTCACATTGTGTTATCTCCTTTGAATTATTCAACTTATAAAAATAAAGATAATTTACAGCAAACCATCTTTTCAGAATCCATGAAAAATGTAAAAAAGTATGTCACATAACATCACATGAAAGGTAACAGCTTTAATAGATTATGTACAAGGATTATTTTTCTGAGCAAAGTGAAATATCAGTAGAATCACATTAATGTAACAATGCATAGAGGTTGATCGATATGAAAGGCAAACAGGCAATTAGCGAACACACAAAACTGAATCTAAGTTATCAAAATCAACCAAATATAGTTTCTTGGCTCATTGGACATGAATAAAGTGGGCAGAATAATAAAATTAAATTATAAAAAACGTGAAAGGAAACCAGAGATAAAAATAATAGCAAACTAACATAAAAATCAGATAAATACTGCATCAAAGAAGAAAGCTATTCACCAACAAAAACAGGCCATCGTGGTACTACATAGAGTTTGTTACTGCATGGTGTTGGTTACAACATTGTGTGACTACATGGCAACATGGTTTTTCTAAATCAGGTTGGGGTGTTGCTACATGGTGACATAATTTGTCTGTAACAGGCCATGGTGGTACTACATAGTGACATTATTTTTCTATATCAGGCCATGGTGTTGCTACATGGTGACATTATTCTTCTATATCATTCCATGGTGTTACTACATGGTGACATTATTCTTCTATATCATTCCATGGTGTTACTACATGGTGACATCATTCTTCTATATCATTCCATGGTGTTACTACATGGTGACATTATTCTTCTATATCATTCCATGGTGTTACTACATGGTGACATTATTCTTCTATATCAGGCCATGGTGGTACTACATGGTGACATCATTCTTCTATGTCAGGCCATGGTGGTACTACATGGTGACATTATTCTTCTACATCAGGCCATGGTGGTACTACATGGTGACATTATTCTTCTATATCAGGCCATGGTGGTACTACATGGTGACATCATTCTTCTATGTCAGGCCATAGTGGTACTACATGGTGACATTATTCTTCTATATCAGGCCATGGTGGTACTACATGGTGACATTATTCTTCTATATCAGGCCATGGTGGTACCACATGGTGACATTATTCTTCTACATCAGGCCATGGTGGTACTACATGGTGACATCATTCTTCTACATCAGGCCATGGGGTTACTACATGGTGACATTATTTTTCTACATCAGGCCATGGTGTTACTACATGGTGACATTATTTTTCTACATCAGGCCATGGTGTTACTACATACTCTTATCTTTACATTCATCACTATATATGCAAGCCTGAATTCTAATGAAACTATAAAAATGTATTTTACTTTAGTATCAAAAGTGAAAGGGAATAGGTAAAAGGTATTAAAGGTGATGAATTGATTGACTTAAAATACTTAAATACTGACTTGAAATTCAGTAACATAATTATGTTGGGTTAAAGATGGCACACTGGTATTCACAATAACAATTATGCTCTTTGTTGAAAAAATTTAAAAAATCAGTCAACAGTATATTACAAAATTATTCCCCCAAAAATATTAATATTTTGTTTACATCCCCAAGCTTCAATTAAATATATTAAATCATGTGATACATGAAAATACTACATTATTTATTCTTAAACAAATTCTTGCATTGCAATTGTAATCAAAGCTAAAAAAAATGTCTGTCCCTGAATTGAAGAGTTATTCAGAAACATGTATCCAGAAAAATTATCATAAATTCATGCGTGTGGAATGTTAGCCCCCAAAAAATGAAACAATAAATATTTCAAACAAAATTATTTCACAGAGATCAAGAACAACAAGAGAAGAACTGCTAGGGCTGCTTGCAGTAGAAATAACAAGAATAAACAAAACACTGATACGTCAACAGATTCCTGCCAAGCACATACATTTTGTGATAGTTCTATCGGGGGATAACACATTGCTATTATTTCACACAGTGGGTTGGCTAAAATGAGTTGCATCCCAGACTGAACTGGACAAGATCAAGTCTGACAATATGCAGTTGTTTTTTGTTTCGTATTGGAAGCATGTCATGATTTCGATCACATTAAAATCATTAGTTTTCTAACCAGAAAAATACAACAAAAGTTTTTTTAAAATATCAAATAATTTTTTTATATGGCTAATCCTGAAACAATGAGCAAGTCACTCCAATGACAACCTATGACAATTCAGCCCAACCTATGGAATCTATGACAATGCACCCCAACCTTTGGAATCTATGACAATTCACCCCGACATATGGAATCTAAAGACAATTCACCCCAACCTATGGAATCTATGACAATTCACCTCAACGTATAGAAATGGAATCTAGGACAATTCACCTCAACCTATGGAATCTATGACAATTCACCCCAACAAATGAAATCCTATTACAACCATGTTTACCAGGAAGACAAGGGTTAAAACAAAGAACATAACATTAGGGGAGAGCAGCCCTAGCAGTAATTGTCATACTGTCTCCAGCACACTGTCCCACACCATGACAGAACTGGAGTCAGTGGGGGACGGTGTCACCGACACAGAGTCTGGAGGGGTGGACTCATTGCTGGATGATGTCCGTCTTCTCCGAAGCTTGCGGTTCGACCATCTTCTTCTCAAATTTTCAATCTAAGGTAGATTAAGGACAATCTGATATTTTTATGATTTAATCATGGCGTCCTTGTGAATAATTTAAAAAACTACAAGCTTTAAAAACAAAAGGTTTGATAGAGATTTGTTAAATCCTTGTAAAAATCACTTTTCAACAGCAACATGTGTGTAATTATATACTGACAACACTAAATATCTTCTCTCCTAAGAAAGACATGAAGGGTAATTATATACAGACAACACTAAATACCTTCTCTCCTAAGAAAGACATGATGGCCAGCAGAACTAAAACAACCAACGCCACATGTGTCCAGAACCTCAATCGGTCCCGATAAGATCGCCTGGAATGAGTGCGAGTAGATAATGAATGGATAAGATGACCTCCAAGGCTCAGCATCTTAAAGTCATATATTATCATAACTACCAAGCCTGTATCATTTTACCTGGTATGGTTCCCACTTTAGCTTTCAGAAGATTACTCCCACAGGCTGTCTGCATTAAATGTTGTGTTATTTTTTTGTAATTTAAAGATATGCACTGGGTAAGATACTTAACAAGACTATAATAAAAAATAGTGTTTGAGCAAGAAAGGAATTGGTCACTACAGTGCCACTTAACATCTGACCAGACCAACCATTAAAATTTTTGACACACTGGGAACCATGCATAACACACTTACCCTGTTTAAAACACTGAGAGCCATGCACAACACACTTACCTGGTTTAAAACTGTAAGCCATGCACAACACTTACCCTGTTTAAAACTGTTAGCCATGTATAACACATTTACCCTGTTGAACGCACTATGAGCCATGCACAACACACTTAACCTGTTTAACACTGCAAGCCATGCATAACACATTTACCCTGTTTAACACAGTGGGAGCCATGCCCAATGCTCTCACCGGAACAATTTAACACAATACATGCAAAATAAACAAGGGCTGCGACTCACCACTCCCTCAACTCATTCATGTGCAGGAACCTGTTCCTGTAATCCCTCGGCAACTCAAACTGGGATGGAATGGGGAGCAGGGATTCATAGAAGTCTTGGAGGATAGCTTTCACCTATATCAATGTAAACATCAGGGTAACATTGCACATTGCCAGCTCATCATAAGTCACTACATTGTAAGACTGATTGTAGAGGTTTCCAAAAGTCACTACATTTTAAGACTGATTGTAGATGTTGACAAAAGTCATTACATTGTAAGATTGATAGTAGATATTTACAAAATTCAACACATTGTAACATCGATTGTAAATGTTCACAAATCAATTCTATTACATTTTTTTTTTTACATTGTGAGAGAATTATTTATTTAAAAATGGAAGATAAACCAACTCTGTGTGATACCTGACGCCAGACACTTGACGCCAGATACCTGACGCCAGACACTTGACGCCAGATACCTGACGCCAGACACTTGATGCCAGACATGAAAAAACTTTCTATCCACACTAACTGTCAAGATGTTGTTGTTGTTTTTTTAATTTTTTAATTCAAATACTACTACTTAATTAAAAAGGCATAAGTACAAAACTAAAGACCCAGGCATTGGTCACTACGGTGCAAGCTATCGGTCGCTAAAGTGCAACCTATCGGTCACAACAGTGCAACCTAACAGCTGACCAGTACATCTATTAAAAACTCACAGTTTTTGCCTCCTCCCTGGTGTGGTCAATGTTGTCATTCAAGCAAATGAACTTCCTGCCCAAAGTAGAAATTAAAACATCATCTTAGTTCATAAAACGTCACACATGTGTAAACGGTGTACAAGTTGATAACGTCACACATGTGTAAACGGTGTACAAGTTGATAACGTCACACATGTGTAAACAGTGTACAAGTTGATAATGTCACTCATGTGTAAACGGTGTACAAGTTGATAACGTCACACATGTGTAAACGGTGTACAAGTTGATAACGTCACACATGTGTAAACGGTGTACAAGTTGATAACGTCACACATGTGTAAACGGTGTACAAGTTGATAACGTCACACATGTGTAAACGGTGTACAAGTTGATAACGTCACACATGTGTAAACGGTGTACAAGTTGATAACGTCACACATGTGTAAACGGTGTACAAGTTGATAACGTCACACATGTGTAAACGGTGTACAAGTTGATAACGTCACTCATGTGTAAACGGTGTACAAGTTGATAACGTCACACATGTGTAAACGGTGTACAAGTTGATAATGTCACACATGTGTAAACGGTGTACAAGTTGATAACGTCACACTTGTGTAAACGGTGTACATGTTAATGTTGGCAATCACAAGCGCAGGGGGGGACGACTACATCATGACAGTAGTGAACCTGTGGCCTTCGTTCAGGACAAACTGTGCCCTTGAAGTAAACCAGTGGCCAAACATACACATGGTCTGCTGTGTGCGATATGTGGTTTGTTGGTGTATGGTTTGTAATGTATCACATAGTATGGTGTGTGGGATATGTGGTTTGTTGGTGTATGGTTTGTAATGTATCACATAGTATGGTGTGTGGGATATGTGGTTTGTTGGTGTATGGTTTGTAATGTATCACATAGTATGGTGTGTGGCGTGGCCAACAGTGCTCTCAAACTCACTTGGGGTGTTTCCGGATGTCGTCCAGTTGTCCCACGACATGAGACACGTTTGTGTGGATCATCTTGAATGTAATATCCGAATCATCCACAGGTGAAGTCCTAAAGATGGGAAGAGGAGAAACTCAGATGTGAAATAAGTTTTGGATGCTGCCACTGATGAAGAACAACCCATCTGTCATAATTATGAAACACGCTAAAAAAAATGTACACCTTGCAATAGTTCAGACAATGTAGTCCACGTAATTTTTACTTTATTGAGATTTTCGAACACATAATTTTTAATTTTAAATTTATAATTTTCTGTTGTTTATTGTTTTGTATCTTTTGCTGAAGAAGGCATCTAACCAAAATGTCCATTTAACCATCTTGTCTATTCTTTTCAAGCTAAACATATCAAAGACCGAATCTATTACATCTGACAGAATCTCTTACAGCTGACAGAATCGATTACAGCAGACAGAGTCTATTGCAGTTACAGCTGACAGAATAAATGACAGCCGACAGAATATATTACAGCTGACAGAATACAGTATAGCAGACAGAATCTATTACAGCTGACAGAGTCTGGTCACACCTTACACCCTGTTCTGTACTTACTTGTACTTGAGCTTGGGTTTGACCTTGGACTTAACAAGCTGTCCAATGGCATCACAGTTGACAAACAGGTGTTTGGTCACCTGGGGCTGGTGGAGAAGAAACAAAGTACCTGATATAGACACAAAAGTAAGCCGAGGTTTTAACCGCATCGCCCCGCCCCAAAGCTCCGGCTCTAGAAATATCAATTTACCCATGAAATCAGTTGTAAATCTTGTCTGGAAATTTATGTTTAAGTTTCCTTTCAAAAAAAAAAAAAAAATTTCCCCAGAGGACGGAGGGATGAGATGAGCGAGGGTAGCGGTTTACATAGTATGAAACTGTCGAGTTCTAGAAGAGAGGGTGGGTGGGTGGGTGGGCACCTTTGCAGTGTTCCTGTTCAAAAATAGATTGTTTGCCTCTTTTAATGTTCTGTCTTTGTTTAAATGATTTTAATGAAACCACTAAGAATGACATCTGGTGCCGTTTACATATGCTACATCAATCATCAGGTGGTGAGATTTATATGTGCTGCTACAGATGGTGATATTTGTATATGCTGTTTCAGTTAGTGACATTTATATATGCTTCTTCAGATGGTGACATTTATACATGCTGCTTCAGGTGTTGACATTTATATATGCCACTTCAGATGGTGACATTTACATATGCAGCTTCTGTTTCATTAGATTACATTACAAGGAGCTTTGCCACTTCCTCCAACTAAAGAGATGTGCATCCACAATTACTATATAGAGTCCTTACCATCGACTTCTCATAGTAGTGCTCAATGTTCTCTTCTGTTAGGTGGGTGGGGTCAGACAGGTTCTGAGAGCAGTTGGAAAACATGGCCTCCAGTCCCGTCAATGTCTGGGAAGGGGGAAAGGAGGGGGAAATGGGAAAAGTTACAACAATTGAAATCTGTTATGATAGAAATGGAAGTTACAAAACAATATTTAAGTTCCATTAAATTTTGGTACATTTATAACTATTTATTTTTATCAAGTTTCCCAAAAAATTAATTTAAATTATGATCAGCAATATCCAATTAAAATAATCTACATAATAAAAAAATGTATTACCTCCAGGTATAGTGGAAGGTCATACATCCTGGCGGCAAAGGTTCTAATTTCTCGATCTGACAGAACTCTGTTCATAATATATTAGATAGTCTCATTAGGGCTTCTCCATTTATTTTTGACATAGCAGTTTCAGAAAGATACCTGATCTAATTTGCCAGGTTGTACATACTTATAGAGATAATAGTGTTTCCTGCTCTAATTTGCCTAAAGGTACATACGTATAGATAATAGTGTTTCCTGCTCTAATTTGCCAGAAGGTACATACGTATAGAGATAATAGTGTTTTCATGGTTTCTTACAGCTGATATTAATTTGATGTTCATATGAAAGCTTTTAAAATCCAATGCATTAGATCACAGAAGTGCACAGTATGTGTAGAATCAAATGTCTTATGCTAAGTGTGTTATGAAAACAATCCTGGAGCAGCCAGTTATGTAACAGAAACTGTAACCTTCTATCTCATGTTGCAAATAATGTTTGTATAATATTTATTCTTATAAAAATGCAAAGATAAAGTTATACAACAAGAACAGAAAAAGTTGCATGATGCAACAAACATTTCTTAACCAAAAAAAAATATTTAAAAAAAAAATAAATTTAAATGAATAAAATTGAAGCCAGTCGTACCCTGAGTGGTCAGTGTCCATTTGATGGAACACATCCTCCACCGACACCGACACAGTGACCCCCATCATGTAGTAATAGTAAGCAAAGGCATACTGCATGTCTGTGGAGCTACGGATCTTGTGTGAGGACGTCGCATCCCATTCCTTGGGAAATCTTGTGTGAACAAAAGCTCAAGAGTTAGAGATGGGGAGGACACCTACAAGAACACTTCTCACATACCCGACACAGCTACAAGAATACTTAAAGTTCTCACATACCTGACACAGCTACAAGAATACTTAAAGTTCTCACATACCTGACACATCTACAAGAACACTTAAAGTTCTCACATACCTGACACAGCTACAAGAATACTTAAAGTTCTCACATACCTGACACAGCTACAAGAACACTTAAAGTTCTCACATACCCGACACAGCTACAAGAATACTTAAAGTTCTCACATACCTGACACAGCTACAAGAACACTTAAAGTTCTCACATACCCGACACAGCTACAAGAACACTTCTCACATACCCGACACAGCTACAAGAACACTTCTCACATAGCCTACACAGCTACAAGAACACTTCCCACAAACCCGACACAGCTACAAGAATACTTAAAGTTCTCACATACCTGACACAGCTACAAGAATACTTAAAGTTCTCACATACCTGACACAGCTACAAGAACACTTAAAGTTCTCACATACCCGACACAGCCACAAGAATACTTAAAGTTCTCACATACCCGACACAGCTACAAGAATACTTAAAGTTCTCACATACCCGACACAGCTACAAGAACACTTAAAGTTCTCACATACCCGACACAACTACAAGAACACTTAAAGTTCTCACATACCCGACACAGCTACAAGAACACTTCTCACATACCCGACACAGCTACAAGAACACTTCTCACATACCCGACACAGCTAGAAGAATACTTAAAGGTCTCACATACCTGACACAGCTACAAGAACACTTAAAGTTCTCACATATCCAACACAACTACAAGAACACTTAAAGTTCTCATATACCCAAAACAGCTACAAGAACACTTAAAATTCTCACATACCTGACACAGATAAAAGAACACTTAAAGTTCTCAGATACTTGACATATATACAAGAGCACTTTATGTTCTCACAAGACCACTTAATGTTCTCACATACCCGACATAGCTACAAGGGGTGCTATTCTTCACTTGAATGTAAGTATTTATTTTTTTAGTTATTTTTATTTCAGTCAAACATCTTCACATGAAATCAAATATTAAACTAGGTCATCCCTTGACAAATTTTATTTAAAGACACTCCGCCCGTTCCTACACACCTATTTTGCAGCTCATACATAATGTTTCTGTCGATCATGTGTGGCATGTGACCAGGTACTTTACGAGGCTGGAAGCCGAATTCTTTATTGTAGATATGGTTGACGTGCCTCAGGGAGTCACCAAACGTATCCAAGAGCTGCCTCCCCTGCCAACCCTCAACTGTGTATTCATTAGATTTCTTTTCTTTCTCTCTTGAAGTCTTGGAAAACATTTGAATTATAAATGTACATTATTGAGATCAGGAAGAGATAGACCACATTTTTTAAACATTTTAAAAAAAATATGAGAGTTCTTGATAACCTAAAAAATATTATATGGCACATTTTGAATATATTGCGTGTTCCAGTTTTTAAAAACAAAGAGAAAAAAAGTGATTTGTATCAACATTCAAATCCTTATTAATTCATTCATTCAGTCCTTTTTGGGTTATGGTGCTTGAGAGGATGGCCAAGGGCATTACTTCTGTCTGGCTGCTTCAGTCGGAGCTGTCTGCAGGATCTGATTGCTATTTCACATTTCTTTCTCTATTGTTCTGTGCAAGGTTTCTTTGAATCTTCTACGGCTTTGTTTTTCAGGGATAGTCCACCTTAGTAATGTCCTGGGTAGTCCATCTCAGTAATGTCCTCGGCAGTCTATCTCAGCAATGTCCTGGGTAGTCCATCTCAGCTATGTCCTGGGTAGCCCATCTCAGTAATGTCTGGCATTCTACAAGCATGTACCAAGCCATCTCTCAGCCATGCACACGCAATATTTCATAAACCTAAAGTAAGCAGGCTAAACCTAAAGTAAGCAGGCTAAACCTAAAGTAAGCAGGCTAAACCTAAAGTAAGCAGGCTAAACCTAAAGTAAGCAGGCTAAACCTAAAGTAAGCAGGCTAAACCTAAAGTAAGCAGGCTAAACCTAAAGTAAGCAGGCTAAACCTAAAGTAAGCAGGCTAAACCTAAAGTAAGCAGGCTAAACCTAAAGTAAGCAGGCTAAACCTAAAGTAAGCAGGCTAAAACTATAAAAAAAAACTAAAGACAATCTCAGCTTATTTTTAGGTTACGTTTATTTTCGTATACCTCTTCATCTTCCTGAATGTCTTTCCTCTCCCATGGGAAACCACCGACATTCTCACCAGCCACATCAACATTTACAAGTCTCAGGAACTCCTCATCAGTCATCTAATCATAGAGCATCAGTCAAATGAAAATAAAATCATAGCACCGTACAACAAAACATACAATGACCTTATTTATTAGCAGCAATAGTTTTTTTTTAAAAATAATTTAGTTTCTATAAATCAGTGCCTCCCGAACTTGTTTGGCGGATCAGTAGAATGTTTCTTATTGCAGCGGTAAACGGTGTCAGATTTATTCATTTAGTTTCTTTGCCATAGAAAATATCATAAAACATTTTTTTACCGGTGATCAGCAAATTTGATAGGAGTCTGTTAGCTGCTGTATTACCACTTGATGCTAGTCATTATAAGTTGTTGTTGTTTTTTTGGTATGGCTTTTTCAAAATAAAAAAATTTCAATAGCAATTTTTTAAAAATATTTTTTTGTAGCTTAAGTTTTAACGGGAATGTAAAACAAATATTTCAAGATCAAACATCATCAGAACGGGCAGATGTCAGAAAGGGCGGATGTCAGAAAGGGCGGATGTCAGAAAGGGCGGATCTCAGAAAGGGCGGATGTCAGAAAGGGTGGATGTCAGAAAGGGCAGATGTCATGTTCTATGCCCAAGTCAGTCTTGTCTTTGTTTTTAAAGCGGCTCTGAAACTGAACTAAATAGAGGAAACAATTAATTAAACTTATTTTTCCAGTTTCTTGGCTCATGTTATGAGGACCAGCAACCTCATGCTTTGGGAAACACTGCTATAAATGGTTGTCAGTGAATGTAGCCGTAGATGTTCCCACAAACAGATGATGTAACAAACAGATGACACAAACAGATAGCATAACAAAAAGAGGACATAACAAACAGATAATAATAATAATAACAATAATAATAGAGTTTATTTGAAAAACACTCTTCATCCCCAAAAGCTCGAAGGGCGGTACAAAGTCCACCATATTAAAAAAAAAAGAGAAATAAAAACAATCAACAATTTACCACATTTAACCCTCGAACTATGGTCGGCCGACGAAATCAGCCGATATTCTCGTTCTGTGCTGTGGCGGACAAAAAAAATCAGCCGATAAAAAAGCTTTTTAGGAGAGGATTTAAGTGATACTGATGATGATTTTAACATTCCCCATGACATTTCACTTCAGATTCTTCTTTTCTTGAATCTGATACTAGTCTTAGTGATACTGAAGAAGGCCTACTGAGGCTACTGTTTGACCTCGAGCCAGGCCCAGAGGTTGGGCAAGGACTGACTGAATTTTAGTCACAGAAGCTACAGATTATAGATCAGAACTAATAAATTTTATAGTTTAACTACCCAAATCAGTTCCACAGTTCCTTTTTAAATGTTTACTAGTCAATGACAACTATTTTGCCTGAGATTTTGTACTTGGTTTTAACAGTGGTCCCAGTTTCTTATATTTTTTGCTGGCATCCGTCCGTCACAATGTGACGATGGAGTGGGCTTCGTAGGACGGAATCCACATAGCCTGGGATTATTATACTTGAAGGATTATAAGCTGGTTCCCAACAGCAAATCGCCTCTCTCCACGCCGCTGGGTAACCCAAGGGAACATCATTGGATGATACAGCTTGGCACCAGTGACGTCGCAGGAGTTGTCGGAATGTTTCATTGTATCAATGTTTTCTCTCCACGCCGCTGGGTAACCCAAGGGAACATCATTGGATGATACAGCTTGGCACCAGTGACGTCGCAGGAGTTGTCGGAATGTTTCATTGTATCAATGTTATCCGCCTTTCGGGACTCCATCTCCGGGTTTGATTTCAGAGTTTCCTTCTCTTAGATGAGTTGCCGTCCAAGGTTAACGGGTCCCATCTACCCGGGGTGCTGGTGGTGTTTTTGCTCTAGCTGGAATAGAACTCCAGACCACCAACTTGAGATTTGCTCAGTTTAGACCACTCGGCCACCCAGCACCCAGTTTCTTATATAAGTGACCTAAAATTACTAAATTGCTTTCAGACATTTATTTGCAATAAAAACCTCAGCAAGCTATACATTTTCTGAAAGATAAATGAATTGGCTACAACATTTAGATTTGTGTTTTAAGTGTATCTATAAAAATTAATGATGTTATGAGCACTTGAAAGCAAGACATTTTGTCGATTTTTATTTTCTTGAGAACTCGAAGGTCAAGGACATTGAGCAAAATTTTTTTTACAGGGTGGGCAATATGGCCAACTTTATCCCCATCCATTTACCGATCTAAAAATATATAATTATTGGGGTCTTGCTTCAATATTTCTATGTCATTTAATGCAATTTCAAAAGGCACTCAAAAAGCTCTGAAAAGCTCCACACCACAGAATGATGCATGCCACAGTTCGAGGGTTAAAAACAAACCCAACAATATAAAAACTACATACCAGCATACCAAGTCAAAGTCTTTCATCCATTTCAACCAAAAGCAACACAAGCCAATATACATTAATTGGAAAATGATGATAGGCAAACATCAGCCAAGAAGGTGTTTGCGAAATAGATGTGTTCTTAAATCGGTTTTAAAGGACTCCAGTGTCTGGCTGTTTCTGAGAGTGACAGGAAGGGCGTTCCTAATTGTTGGGCCAGCAAATGCGAAAGTGCGTTTTCTGTAAGTCTCAAGGCGAACACGCGGTATCGATATTTTGCCACTATCGGATGAGATAACATACAAACAGCAGACCTGTTTACCCTTAAACTCTTAAAATCGTACAATATCTTCACAAAATCGTTCAATACATTATCTTAATAGTAAAAAAAAATAAACATACAGTATATATAATGCATACACCTCAAAATCATTCATTGAACGCCAAAATCGTAAGAGTAAACAGGTTTGAAACAGATAACATAAGTAACAGATAAAATACAAACAGATAACATAACAAACAGGTAACATACCAACAGATGAAATAACGAACCTGCTCTCCAAGACTGTCATCTTTCATCAGAAATTTGTTTTTTTCACGTTGTTCCTCCATCTGGGACCAGTACAAAATGGCTAGGAGTTTACGTCCGCCCCCACGCTGGACATTGTCATCATTATCGTTGCCACCAACATAACCTTGGGTTTTCCCAGCGATACTGTTGTTGTTGTGTAGCGTGCCTAATTTGTTGGAAGCTGGTATTCTAAGCTGATCCACTCTCAAACCAGTATCTGTGTCAGGCTGTTCCTCCATCTGCTTGGCAGCCTTGGCTTTGTCATAAATCTCCTTGGCATTGTAACCGCCCATTTTGGACGGGGCATTGACAATGGTGCGGCTATTGGCTCTCATAGAGTCCTGCACACTTCCTGCAGGGGGAGGTGACTCCTGTGCAATATGCCCTGTCTTTAGCGCACTCCCCGCAGGAGGTGATCCATGCTGGGGTGAACCCTCTTCAACGTGGAGTGACTTGTGCTGTTCTGCTTGTAAAGGACTTTCTGTTTGGTCCTTCTCTCCTTCGTTAACCCTATCAGCATTTTGAGAATCTGAGCTGAAAGATCTTTTCAGCCCGTACTGACCCTGACCATCAAAATCTTGTTGGCCAAACCCGACCCCTCTATCCTGCAACTGTTGAAGTCTCTCACGTCTGCTCAATCGCTGCGGTTTCCTCCCCTGATTTACATTTAACTCCAGAAGAGGGTCTCTGTTGCTGTAATGTCCCTTCTTCGCACCGAGCGATTGTTTCGGAGACTCCGTTAGGTTTTGAAATTTTCTCTTCTCTGCGTCCTCCGCTTTCTGGATTTCCAGTTTCAGTCTTTGCTCTCGGAACATGGGTTGTAAGCTCTCCAGCTCTGCCCCATGTTGTTGAAGTGTGTCGTAGAATCGAACCTTAAGGCCAGTTTCTGTCAGTTCACCTGAAAACACATAAATACATAAATGTCACCGCCATAACTATCACTGTCACAAGTGTCACTGTCACAAGTGTCACTGTCACAACTGTCACCAGAAATGCTTTTGCTGCCCACGGATACTACTTCGCAGCTAAGTGCTATTTCTTATTTTCATTTTTGTACCGTTTTTTCTTTTGTTTTGTTCGCTGATGAAGGCTTTCTGCCGACATGTTCATTGTTTTGTTGCGTTTATTTTTTCAGGTTTAACCCTACTCTGTTTTACTCATTTTATATTGTGCTAACCTGATTGCAGTCTCTCCCCTTATTACCCTAGCTTCAGTGAGATCAAGCTTCAGATTGCTTCTAGCTTCAGTGAGATCAAGCTTCAGATTGCTTCTAGCTTCAGTGAGATCAAGCTTCAGACAAGCCAATACAAAAATGTACAAATTATGTAAAAGTTACATGACACTCCGTATGTCAAATGTGTCAATCGCAATGATGTGTGAAGAAGTCTCATAACTTGATGCAGCAATTCTTGGGGGAAAACGTAGCAATTTAGTTTTTAAAAAACTCAACCACTGAAGCCAACCTGGCATGGGATTAAAAAGTCGTCTGTCTGAACTATCTGGCTCATACTAAATTTAAGTAAGGAACTGGATAAAAAAAATAGCAAACATAATTTTTTCCTCTGTTGAGGAGTGAAATGTCCTCTACTTTACCCAACAACTTCCCGCTTTTAAGGAGTGAAATGTCCTCTTCTTTACCCTACAACTTCCCTCCCTTGGAGTGCTAATGTGATAGAAAAGAGTAGCTTGCCTTCTCTGTTGGCGTGGTCAATAATGGTCAGCTTTTCTTTCAACTGCTTGGACATGTTCAAATATCTGTACAGGTCCAGTATGTCTACATCAATGGTCAGCAAAGGTGGATCCTCCAATTCAACAGGTGGTACATCATGGGAAATAACTGGGTCTCTAAATAATATAATGGATATAACTTTTTTTTAAATGGTCGAAGTCACATGACTTTTAAATGGGCAAGTCACACGACTTCTTTTTTTTTTTTTTTTTTTTTTAATGGTCAAAGTCACATGACGTCTATTTTTTTTAAACTTATGACAAAAATTACTATTTCTTTCATCCTAAATCATGTAAATTTGAATGGAACAAAAAAATGAACTTGATATTTGAGTGATCACCACTGAACACTAGGCTGACCCCCTCCCTGACCAGCACCTACCCTGGGACTCCTGTGTATTCCTTGAATGCCTCAGCATCCAGGACGTCCTCCACTTGAACAGGTAGAGCTGACGTTACATTCTCGGACTTGCTGATGTTGGAAGTCGGCTCAGGCCTGGCCACAGATGTGTCCACTTGGAGGGTGAAGTTGATCTGACAAAAAAGAAGCTCATGAGTTTTATTAACTTCAGTATTTTGTCATTTGTCTGAAACAGTCTACCTGGTCCACGTTCAGTATGGACACAGTCTACCTGGTTCACGTTCAGTATGGATACAGTCTATCTGGTTCACGTTCAGTATGGATACAGTCTACCCGGTTCACGTTCAGCATGTTACTTTTTTTTAAATACCAAATCAGTAGCACTCTGTTTTCTTTGGAGATATTATTGGAATGTATACCCTATCTGGCAACAATAAAAATCAGTAGCACTTCAACATTTATACAATGCCAGATAAGCTTACAAATTTAGGTTTTAAACGAAGAAAAAAGTTTTGAAATGCCTCCAGGAATAATTTGGCACCTTATTTGGTCAAAATCCATAAGAGCTCCACTTTTACTGTGTCCTCTTGTCTGCCTTTATTTAAATTTCATAATTGTGTTTCCTTCGAATTTTTTTTTTTTTTTTTGTGGGTGGTGTCCCATTAAAGCTTGACAAAATCTCTAGATTTTTAAAACCAGCAGGTAAGCTCACCTTGCTCGTTTCGTTTGTTCCCAATTTGTCCTCAAGGTCAAACACCAAGGTCGTGGCGTTGTGATCTTTGTTTAGCACAACGGTCAGCACCTTGTTCTTTTTTCTTTTTCCTTTTGTCTGCCTTTATTTAAATTTTATAATTGTGTTTCCTTCGAATTTTTTTTTTTTTTTTTTGTGGGTGGTGTCCCATTAAAGCTTGACAAAATCTCTAGATTTTTAAAACCAGCAGGTAAGCTCACCTTGCTCGTTTCGTTTGTTCCCAATTTGTACTCAAGGTCAAACACCAAGGTCGTGGCGTTGTGATCTTTGTTGAGCACAACGGTCAGCACCTTGAACTTGTTGGCCACTGCAACGGCCCTGATGACTTTCTCGGGACCGTAGCTGGCAGAGGTCACCCTGGCCTTGTTGGTGAGAATGCCAGAGAGGTTGAAGTACCCAATCAATTCACCTGTGAGAAATATTAGCACAGGCTGTGGTAAAAACTAATTTAAACAATAACAGAACCAGGGAGAAAAATGTGTAAAGCATAATAAATGAGGGACAGTGTTCAAGCCACGGGGAATTGGAAATAGTGGAACAAGATATGTTTAGGCTTGAAATTAAAATATAGGACAATAAATATTAAAATGGACATATCGGCAAGATGCCTTCTTCAGCAGACAAGACAAAACAAGAAACAACAGATAATTAGAAACCAAAAATGTCAAAACTTATGTGTTAGAAAATCTCAATGAAGTTTATGTAGCTCTATGTTGAGAGCTCTTTTTTTTAAAAACTTATTAATATATTATTATGATTTACATTTCTAAAAAATGGCCCTAAACAACAATTTTTCAATCTCTTAGAGCAGGTCTGCACAACTCAAAATGTAAGGAGGGCCGTAATACTTTATGAAAAACGTGTGCGGGCCAAAAGAAAATAAGACAGGACTTGTGTGGGCCAAAAGAAAATAAGACAGGACTTGTGTGGGCCAAAAGAGAACAGGTCAGGGAGAAAGATATTAAGAAAATAATAAGAATAAAGATTATTTCGTTACTTCGCAGGCCACAAAGTGGGTGTGGGCGGGCCGCATGTGGCCTGTGCGCCATATGTTGCGCAGGCCTGTCTTAGAGCCACAAGAATGGATAGATTACAATGGATGTTGTTGTTTTTCCCCCACACAAATTTTTTTTTAAAATTGGGATGTGGGTGTCAAATTATGGCAGCCTTTTGATAAACTGATAGACATTGTCATCTAATATAAGAGATAGTGATCTATACGGCATCCTGGTATCAAGTCTCATACTATATTTATACATGTAATTGATTAAATCGTTTCCTATTAGAACATTTCACTTAAACTTTTCAGCTTCCCATGACCCCTGTTGGAACCATTACAGTAAATTTTTAGAAGATCTTTAGGATGGTCTATTTCGAGGGTCTATTTAGAGGGTCCGTTTTTCTGACTACTTAGAATAAAAATTCAAGCCGACTGTACCTGGTGGGAGCCTGTAGTGCAATTTGTCTGAGTGAAGGTCAAGGCCATACAGTTTGTTGTAGTTACTGACACCGCAATCTCCAATGTCAAAGCCGCACTGGAGGTTATTGCACGCCTGGAGCGGAGAAATAATGTCATAAAACAGCTTTTGAAATAGTAATTCACTAATCTCATTACAATTACTCACAATAGACTTCTATCATCAGATGTCTGGTCCTTTAGATTAACATGAAAGGATTTAGCGCAGTCAGACTTACGACTTATGTCACAATTTTATATGGTCCGATCTGCAGAGGGGGAAATTATTCTAAATGTATTTTCTCTTTGAATGTGATATCATACATGGTTTCCTTCTTGATTAAATATTGCCCCGTATTTTACGTGGGGATTGGTTACCGGTTCAATACAATATCTTTTTTTAAATACTCTCCTTTTAGGCTTGTGAATAGCTTTTGATACTTTTTCTTAGAAGTTTTATAAAATGTAGGCCCAACATTTATGGATTAAAGTGTAACAAAATAAAAGAGATAAATGTCACATGTTCTACCTCCTGTCATTTAGAGGGTTCATTCCTGCTTTTTGAATATTCCATTCTTTAGCTCAATTAACATTATTTCATTCACTACAATCATAAATGAAAGATAATAAATGTAAGCTTGTTTTTAGGCAGACAATAAATGTAAGCTTTTCTTTTTTCAGGCAATAAATGTAAACTTGTTTTGTCAGGCAATAAATGTAAACTTGTTTTGGCAGACAATAAATGTAAACTTGTTTTGGCAGACAATAAATGTAAACTTGTTTTGTCAGACAATAAATGTAAACTTGTTTTGTCAGGCAATAAATGTAAGCTTGTTTTGTCAGGCAATAAATGTAAACTTGTTTTGGCAGACAATAAATGTAAACTTGTTTTGGCAGACAATAAATGTAAACTTGTTTTGTCAGGCAATAAATGTAAACTTGTTTTGGCAGACAATAAATGTAAACTTGTTTTGTCAGGCAATAAATGTAAACTTGTTTTGGCAGACAATAAATGTAAACTTGTTTTGTCAGGCAATAAATGTAAACTTGTTTTGTCAGGCAATAAATGTAAACTTGTTTTGTCAGGCAATAAATGTAAACTTGTTTTGTCAGGCAATAAATGTAAACTTGTTTTGTCAGGCAATAAATGTAAACTTGTTTTGTCAGGCAATAAATGTAAACTTGTTTTGTCAGGCAATAAATGTAAACTTGTTTTGTCAGGCAATAAATGTAAACTTGTTTTGGCAGACAATAAATGTAAACTTGTTTTGTCAGGCAATAAATGTAAACTTGTTTTGGCAGACAATAAATGTAAACTTGTTTTGGCAGACAATAAATGTAAACTTGTTTTAAAAGACAATAAATGTAAGCTTGTTTTTAGGCAGACAATCAATTTAAGCTTGCATTGTCACAAAATGAATCTAAGCTTGTATTGTCAGGCAATAAATGTAAGCTTATATTGTCACATTTTAGATCTTTACCTGGTCACAGTACTTGTCAGCCAACCAGTTATTGGCACACCCTGTGTTACAGTAAGCTGGGGAAAGATAGGTTTTAACAATTACTTTGTACACAATCCTGCGTCATCTCTTCTGTGAAAAGCAACCCCCCAATTTCCAGCCATGTTGAATAGAACACACTTATCAAATATAAAGGGAGAATTGAAATGGTTCAGTGTGTCAATATACTCTCAGACCCTACATCTTGTCCTAGTCATGTGAATTTGGCTTCCTCAAGAAGTGAAGCTTGACTATATATAAGCGCATGTGTGGTCAGATCAAGTAAGACTAGACTTACACGTGTAATCCGTCAGACGTGGTCCTTGATCATGGAAGCCTGCTCCCAACTGTACACGGCCATTAGAAGCTGAAGACAGAAAGGAAGTTTGTTATTGTTTCTGTATGCATGAGGCATTGAGAGGCCAGAGTTGATGGTCAGAGAAAATAAACTGGGTTAGACTATTTTAAGCAATGAAAAGGTTTTATTTATTTTTATTTTTTTTATTTTTTACAAATAGATAAAATTATTATGAAATGAATGCTAGATGTAACATATAATTGACGAGTCTACACACTCAGTCTTTTAGTTGTCTGTCCTAGTAAACTAAACTTTTGCAGACAAGTTAAGAATGTAAAGAATGCTTTGTTTTTTTTTTTTCTTGTTCCAATGTTTCCAGTAGAAATGACTGTTTCTTTAGTAATGTTAAGCATTTTAAACATGTTTTCTGGCCAGATGGCCAAGTACATCAACAAGCTGCAATTGTCATGGTAAGCTGCAATTGTCATGGTAAGCTGCAATTGTCATGGTAAGCTGCAATTGTCATGGTAAGCTGCAATTGTCATGGTAGGCTTCCTAAGCTCAACAAGCTGCAATTGTCATGGTAGGCTTCCTAAGCTCAACAAGCTGCAATTGTCATGGTAGGCTTCCTAAGCTCAACAAGCTGCAATTGTCATGGTAAGCTGCAATTGTCATGGTAAGCTGCAATTGTCATGGTAGGCTTCCTAAGCTCAACAAGCTGCAATTGTCATGGTAAGCTGCAATTGTCATGGTAAGCTGCAATTGTCATGGTAAGCTGCAATTGTCATGGTAAGCTTCCTAAGCTCAGCGGGGGTGGGTTTTTAAGCTCCAAGAAATACTGGAGGAGAGCCTTGCAAAAAAAACGGCTTCAACCCTGTTATGAGGCAAACAAGCTACCAACATTGCCCCTAAATGAAATCAATATTAAATGCAGAAGTTGCTTGGTTACACTCACTGGTCATCAGTTCAATACCACAATCCTCTTCTTTAAAAATTCTTATGTGATCTCATAACTTACACAAACAATCTCCGCCATCCCAAGATGCCAACTTTAAATACCGCCTCTACTTACACAAACAATCCCCGCCATCCCAGTCACATTCTGAAGAGTTGCATGCCTTGTCACAGTAGCCGTCTCTAATCCAAGTTGATGGACAACCTTCGTTACAGTTGGGCACTGGCCAGGTCAGGTACAACTGTCAATCATATATGTAAAGATCTTATTATGTAGAAGCAGTCAATGTCAATTTTTCTTATTTTTTAATTTGATAAAAAATTTATTATCTAATGCCTCTGAGAACCACTGAGAAACAGAATATTCTAAAAAAATGTTGAAAATTAGGATTCACAGCACTTGTCGAACTGTAGATCTTAGTGTCCTGTGCTCATCCACACTTCCAAGCCAGACGCTCACCCGTGGGACATCCTAGTCTCTTACTTCTTCACACAGACCAGTGCAACCGACATCAGACGCTCACCCGTGGGACATCCTAGTCTCTTACTTCTTCACACAGACCAGTGCAACCGACATCAGACGCTCACCCGTGGGACATCCTAGTCTCTTACTTCTTCACACAGACCAGTGCAACGACATCAGACGCTCACCCGTGGGACATCCTAGTCTCTTACTTCTTCACACAGACCAGTGCAACCGACATCAGACGCTCACAAGTGGGACATCCTAGTCTCTTACTTCTTCACACAGACGAGTGCAACCGACATCACCACAGCAAACACTGAATATCAATGTACACCAACAATCCAACTCGTAAACTAATCAACATTCTACTTCAACGATATATCCAGCCGAATCCTCCACACACAAAAACAAGCCACACCGTGAATATCACACAACGGCCATCTATGCATTCTATCCACAACAACTAAAACTCTTGCACCATTTCCCTTTACCCAAATACGTCACAACACTCTAACATCATCGATACAGCTGCACATAAAATCTATTAACTAAACATCTTTTCCCCACCAAACATGTCAACAGTGATCTACACATAACAACAGTGATTCTCATACCCTTGACAGCACTGAAAGACTAAAATTAGGAATATTATCAAAAGAAATAGATGTTCATATCTGTTTGAGTTCTATTCAGCCTATACCCTACACTAGCTTTTAAATATAGGTTGTTGTTTTTTAAGCCTACACTGTAAATTAGTCTTGGCTAAATAATCTATGGAAGAAATATTTTATTTACTTAAGGGAACCCGGCAACACTTTACTTTATAAATACCTCCTGCATATTTATGCTGCAAGTTCCTTTAAAACAAAATATTGAGAGAGGCCCAATGGATAAAATTAAATCAGTGATTTATCATATAGGATGAGGAGAGGCCCAATGGATAAAATTAAATCAGTGATTTATCATATAGGATGAGGAGAGGCCCAATGGATAAAATTAAATCAGTGATTTATCATATAGGATGAGGAGAGGCCCAATGGATAAAATTAAATCAGTGATTTATCATATAGGATGAGGAGAGGCCCAATGGATAAAATTAAATCAGTGATTTATCATATAGGATGAGGAGAGGCCCAATGGATAAAATTAAATCAGTGATTTATCATATAGGATGAGGAGAGGCCCAATGGATAAAATTAAATCAGTGATTTATCATATAGGATGAGGAGACCCAATGGATAAAATTAAATCAGTGATTTATCATATAGGATGTGGAAATAGATACTTTTGAACCATTTTAAAAATAAGTTTTGTTTAAAGAAAATGTTTCAGAATGATTGCTGACGCATTCGACTTCTTTCATACACTTTATACAAACAGACCACAATAAATATTCAATTTAAAATGTATGGCAATTTCGTTAAGGACATATTTCAAACAAGAAACTAAAGTCAACCATTTATTTAGATTAATATTCAATGCATTATTGTAATCATATTATAAAATGCTTGGACTGGTCAATAACTAATATGTTGAGTAAACTACAAGTGTGAACTTATCACCACTGTCACATCAGCCAAATCCACACCAATTTTTTTAGTTCTAAAAGCCATCATGGGACTCACACAGAGAAATATCTGACCAACCTTCTGCCCAGTTGAATGCGTGTAAAAATCATCAGGCCAGACAGGACTTCCGAACATGACGTCATCATTCAGATATAGAAACTTGTCAGACAGGCCAGGAATTTTGTGAATGTTTGCCTCAATGGCCGGGGAGCTGAACGTTGGCAGGTGACTTATATTTTCAAATATTTCCTGAATAGTCAAAATTAAGATTTTTTTTTAAATTTACAAATACATTTTTTATTTTTTTACATAACTCTATAAAATGGTTGTAATTAAAACATGCAGTTTTTTTTCCCCACATTTGTTGACATTGCTAAAATATTTAGAATTCCATCTCTGTTCAAAACAATGGTCCCAAGTTTCAGACTTGGAAATGAAATACACAACAAAAAAAACAAACAGCTTACATCATGAGTGATAACGGTCACTCTCGGGCAATCCAGGTTCAGCCAGTATGGTATCTGACCGTTGGTCACAATGTAAACATGTCTGACCCATGGGGCGAACTGCTCCAGTGACCTCAAAGAGTATCGCAGTTCCTGAGGGTTGATTTTTTAAAAATTAAACAAAACACTGTGTTACTATTACATTTTGTGTTACTATTACATATTGTTACTATTACATATTGTGTCACTATTAAATATTGTGTTATTATTGCATATTGTTAGTTACTATTACATATAATGTGAGCATGGTAAAATAGAATTGATACAAGCGCTATACAATCAATCAATCAATATGAAATTACGGGAGCCATGCCATGAACCAGTTATATCCGAATTCTAGTTATAGTGTAGTGCATAATAGCAGGACTCAACTGTATTTTGTCCAGCTCTGGTGTCGGTCTTCAAGTTAAAAAACAACAACTCACAAGCAGTAAGTAGATGATTTTTTTAACAAGTAAATCATTAACATACAGAAGTGATTCTCAACATGAAATGTCATTACGGTTGATCGCATCAAATCCTATGAGCTTGGTGTGCTACTAAAAAACCTACACTGTATTAGCCACGAAAAAGTATGATAATCATCGACACAACCTTCATGCCTAAGGAGAACATTACTTTTACTAAATAAAGACATTCCAATCCATGTGTTTACCTCGTTATCTTCAAATCTATTGGACGCCACAACATCATCTTTCACAGCCTGAAATATACACAGGTGGCATTTTAGAGTGGTCTGAGATGGATAGATATTCATACATTGTCAATGAAGGTGTTACTGGCATCATTATATCTTTTTTTGATCATGTGACTTGAAAAGAGGAAAAACAGTCATATTGTAAATTTATAATATTTATAGGGCATAAAGGACTTACAAATCTGAGATCCCACACAAGCTTTACTGGAGACAATCTCTGGACTTTGTGCTCAATGGTAAAGTTTTTATCCTAAAAAAAATACAAATATAATCTAAGATATTTCGACTAATCCTGTATGGAAAGTAACGATGAACAACACTGGTATTGGCATGGTCTGTTACAATGTAACAACACTGGTAATGGCACGGTCTGTTACAATGTAACAACACTGACAATGGCATGGTCTGTTACAATGTAACAACACTGGTAATGGCACGGTCTGTTACAATGTAACAACACTGGTACTGGCACGGTCTGTTACAATGTAACATCACTGATAATGGCACAGTCTGTTACAATGCTGTATATTGATGATCAGGAAACCATTGTACAGTTATTATTAAATTATTACTGTTAGCTTGTTTAAAAGATCAATGCAACGATCCTTGGCATTATTTTCTATCCTTTTAACAAAAATGGTGGTCAGCTCACCCCAGAGAGCTGGTCATAGTGGGTTTTCTGGGAGATGTAGAGGAGGGCCATCCCTTTGTCCTTGTGAAGTTTGACCTGAAATGTTAAAATTAGACAGTGAGTTACAGTTTTAATGGTGACACTGCAGCATTACAACTGAACCATTCCCAAGCACTGGGCCCCCACCCCTTGGGTGTGCCGCTGTGTTATTGACCCCCCGGTGTGCTGCTGTGTTATTGATCCTCGGGTGTGCTGCTGTGTTATTGACCTTCGGGTGTGCTGCTGTGTTATTGACCCTCGGGTGTGCTGCTGTGTTATTGACCCTCCGGTGTGCTGCTGTGTTATTGACCCTCGCGTGTGCTGATGTGTTGTTCCAAAGGGATGTGAACAGTGTCAGATACAGCTGTCACACGGTTTTAGTGAATCGCAAAGTTTGCAAGGGGCCTTAACAACAAGTGGTACTGCTGAACTAAGGGTCTATAACAACAATCGGTACAGCTAAACTAAGGGGCTATAACAACAAACGGTACAGCTGAACTACAGGGATATAACAACAAGCGGTACAGCTAAACTAAGGGGCTATAACAACAAGCGGCACTGCTGAACTAAGGGGCTATAACAACAAGCGTTACAGCTGAACTAAGGGGCTATAACAACAAGCAGCACTGCTGAACTAAGGGGCTATAACAACAAGCGGTACAGCTGAACTAAGGGGCTATAACAACAAGCGGTACTGCTGAACTAAGGGGCTAATAACAACGAGCGGTACTGCTGAACTAAGGGGCTATAACAACTAGCAGTACTGCTGAACTTACAGGTACGGACGCTTTATCTGATATGTTGAGTCTTCCCGTCACGGCCTGCTGAACATCCCCATCACTGTACTCATTGGGGAAGCCTGACAACATGATGACTTCAGGGACAACAATACCGTGAGGAAGTTTCATGTCACTTGTCTGGAATAAAAAGGGGGGGGGGGGAATTCTTCATTCATTTTTACAGCCGTTTCATGTTTCTTTCTTTCTTTCTCACTCTCTTTTTTTAAATCCTTTTTTCCATTTCACTTTTGTTTTTAAAAAGGGGGGGGGGGGGAAATTCTACATTCATATTTACAGCCGTTTCATGTTTCTTTCTTTCTCTCTCACTCTCTTTTTTAAAATCCTTTATACTATTTCACTTTTGTTTATGTGTTCCTCTATGGGTTTTTTGGACAAAATTGGAAGACTAATAGACCCATTTCCAGTCATCCTATCAAGCTAAAACTTGCCAATACTTTTTTTACTGATAACACATTCCATCAATTTTCCAGCCCCACCCCCAACCCCCTATAATCAGATTTAACGCCACCAGATGCCGCGCTGATTCCACAAAAGAGAGCTCTCATTGGGATTCTTATTAAAGTGTGATTGTTATCAAGTGCATTAATCGAATGCATGATTTGTTACATTTTTCAGCCCCCACCCCCCACTCCCACCCCCATTGCTCAATATTAAATTTTATTACTACGAAAAACTTTGTTTTCAAGGGTTGTTGTTTAATTGTTAGTTGTTTTTTTTTTATTCAGTTTGTCAGAAAAATACTTCTCACAGACAGTTAAATTACATTCAATAATAAAAAATGTTGATGACATACATAGTAAGCTGGTTTGATGGTGTAATTGGTCCCTCTGTAGGTCCATCCATGTGCAGTGTGCTTCAGAATGTACTTCACTGTCAAGATAACAAATCAGTCCTTTCATTTCTCATTTATTCATTGTTTAAAAAAAAAAAAAAAACTAGTCTAAGAAAAGGTAACACAAACTAGCTTTCATAAGCTCTTATTTATTTAGGCATTTTTGTATAACGCTTACCTTACAGCTCTAATCGCTTTACAATTATTAAAAATATGTAAACTATTTAAACTGCTAAAGTAAAATAAAAATGAAAAACCAGAGACACTAGAATAGTAACTACAACTTAAACTGGATAACAGCCCCTTGAATTAAGGGCCAAGTCATGACTCAGTCTCCACACATCTGAGCCCTGGCCAGAATACACCAGTTCATTGGTCCAACCACTGACCGTCAGTTTCATGTTCCAGGGTCAGTAGCGTGAAGTTAGACGGCCAATCAGGATGCTCTTTGATATCTGTGACGCCTGTGATGTTCATAAACACCGCATCAGCTTTTATGACATCATCGGCGGCAACAGATCCCAACAAAGGGGGGTTAACAAGGACGCCCACAGAGACACAGTTGGTGAAGGTGCAGCGCTCCTCCCTGATGGTGTGAATAAAAAGTCCAAATAGATCATTATTTCAAAATTATCATTTTATAATCCAATCTTATTGGCCGTTTGTAAAAAATATTTTGAAAAAGAACACTTTTCATATCCCCAAACCTCAAAGTTCCAATATATGGCTCTGATCTACATTAATAAATCGTGCATCAAAGACCCAAGGTTGTGCTCAAATTCTTCAACATATATAAGAAACAGCTACTGTCATCATGTAATGCAGACTTCAATGAGCACAATATAACAATGCCCTATAACTGCACCACAAACAGCATGTAAATTTGTGCTCAATAGTCGTGCAAACTAAAATTCTTGCATTAAATGGATTTCTTAAAAGCAATGCTAGGGAGAAGGGTTTTACTTCAACAGACATGGAATCCATTAAATCTGATCAAACAAATATGCTTTTATGTAAGTAAATGTAATCTTTATTATGTAAGTATTATTAATTGGAAATAAATTTAATATAATAACGACATAATTATTGAGAGGATTTTATATGAATGTTAGCGTTACGGTATTGAATAAAATGAGATTTGACATTCTTTACACTTTTATTTCCATTATAATAATAAGTTCTTTTATATTCGGTAACAGTCAGAAAACCCAAAAAAGGACAAGACTAAAAGGTTTGTCCACTCTTTTTTAATAAATATAATTGCTTGCTTTTTAAATTGTTGATTAATGTTTGTCTTAAAATTTACGCTTTTTATCATAAACATTTAATAAGTTTTATTTATTTTTCATTCCAAAAAATATGCATTTATAAAAAGGAAAAAACACTTAAAGTATAAAGTATGTGTTTTAAATAAGAAAATGCTGTTCAAGCCATTAAGTGCAACGAAAAATCATTGCCAAATACCACTCGCTGATTCCTGATCTATATAACAAACCATATGACACTGCATTTGCCTCATTTGGATACCAATATCTCCAAGCCAGATGTTACAGGTTTGAACGTCAGTATAGACTTAAATTTAAAATAAATAACCATACTCTCTAAATAATGTGTGCGTTGGTTCAGAGATTCTTCTTTAGATATCCAAATTCTGTGTTTTACGATTTCCAAGACATATAGTTCAGGAGTGGGGCAAAAGGTTATGTAATTTTTTAATGAAGATACCAATTTTTCAAATACATTAATGTTAAAAATATTTAAACTGATAATTTTTTTTTTTTAATTTAAGGATATATATGTTTCTACAATAGTTTGGAAAATATGTTGTTGTTTTTTGTAGTTTATGAGCATGAAAAATCGCTCCTTTTATATAGGAGATTAAAAAAAATTAAAATGTCAAATATCTATTCATAGATATGTTTTTTAAAATAAGGACATTTTGGTTTCCTATTTACTAAATATAAATTTCAAGAGCGTGGAAAAGTCAGAAGTTGTTTTTTTTTGAGGATTCAATGCATCGAAACCAGATTCACGTATTTTTCCCCACATTTTTTACAGTGTGATACATCCTTTAAATGAAACCTAATAAAATACAAGAATGTTTTAACATAGGATCAGTAGTTACTCCCTCATTTATATCAGTAAGCTCATAAACCCTTTATTATATTGATTATATAAATTAAATCAAGTTCCAACCGTTAATTTTTCCTTCCAGGGAAGACAATCCATTCTCAATCCCTTCAGAATAAAGTGATTTTTTAAAAGACTTGTTTAGATATAGTACAGAGCCAGATGGTAAGGGAAAATTACATGCATTGTTGTTTAACTTATTAAAAATTTATTTTAGAGTGACCATCACCACCTAGTAGAGCTTGCCATGAGAGGATAGACAACAGACACTAGTTCTAAGCTTGAGAGAGGACCCAGTTCACAAAGATATTAATAGAACAGTATCCCATGGTCTAGATAAATAGTATCATATGGTCTAGATAAATAGTATCATATGGTCCAGATAAATAGAAGCATGTGGTCTAGATAAATAGTATCATGTGGTGTAGGAGGTAACAGGAAATTATTTTGAAACAAATTTGTACAAAGGAATATTGTTCAAGTGGAAGTATGTTTGAAATTAAATTGTTTCAAAGATGATTGTTGTTTTTTTTAAATTTTTAATTATTTGTTAAGGGAATGTTTGGGTGAGAAATATGGAATATGGAAACTTTTTAATTTAAAATTTATGTGTTGTTTTTTTTTCACGATTTCTGTTGTTTGAACAAACTTCTTCCCAAACAAACTCCAGTTAGATCAAAATTCCTACATAAAAATGGTTTCGTACAAATTGGTTTCATACTAATTTCTGCATTTGGGTCTAGAAGCTCTCTATTCCATTTTCTGTCAGTTCAGGAATGTGGTAACAATTTATTGTAATAAATAGTAATATAGTCAGACCATTCTGTCTTATCTACATATGATCATATATGCATTTAAAACTCTAGAAGCTTGACTATAATTTTGAATATTTTTTCATGCCCCCTTCATATTTAAAAAAAAATTTGTAACAAACTGAGAAATTAATTTTTTTTTAAATTTTTAATTTTGTTTATTCAAATGTAACAAACTTTTTAATGCAACAGAACTGATAGTTGTTGTTGTTTTTGTATAAAAAAGCAATTTCCTAACCCTTCAAAGTATCGTAATTCTTCGTCAAATTAAATGTGATGGTTATTTGTTGTATAAAATTCTTTAGTCTCATTTGATGACAACACACCACAACCAATTACAACTTTCTCAATCCGGTAATAGAAATTTGTTATAGAAATTGAAAGAATCCACCATTAGCATGCAAGCAGCAACTTGAGATTTAGGTTAAACTAATTACTTAATTAATAAGGGGAAAAAAATTCTCCTCACTCATGACAACTTATTGGATCTTTTAGAGCTATTGTTTGTTTTCATAAATATATATATATATATATATATATATATATATCTCTCGAGATTATATATATATATATATATATATATATATATTGTTCTTTATTTAACCCAAAAAATTAAGCTTGAAACTTATAGTGCCTTATGATAGCAAAATTTCCATGCATAGGCTCAACAACCAAAAATTAGAAATTTAAACAAATAAAACTCTTATAGGTTGTTTTGTCAGTTTCCGGCCAAATATTTTTACCTGTTAATTTATATTGTAACTCCGATATAATTTCTAATGCTGACATTTCAGTGCCAATGATAAAAACCCACTTAAGCAACCATTAGACATTATATGATGGCAGGAGATACAAAACCACATTCTTGCTTGAAGCATATAATTGGTAACATCAGTGTGGTGACACTTGAAGGGATCGGTAACAAATACCTTTACCCCACAAACCCCACATTATCAATATATTTAAATTAAATCTTGACGTATTAGATGGAGGTAATGTTGTTTTTTTTTTTGCAGGCATCCTTCCGTCACAATGTCACGATGGTGTGGGCTTCCCAGGACAAGATCCACAAGGCCTGGGATTATTCTTCTAGGATTATAAGCTGGATAACCCAAGGAAATATCATGTGGATGATACAGCTTGACACCAGTGGCGTCGCATAAGTACTCTGAATGTTTCATTGTACCAATGTAATTCGACTATGGGACTCCATTTCTGAGATTGAATTAGATGAGTTGCCATCCAAAGTTAACGAGTCCCATCCACCCGGGGTGCTGGTGATGTTTTTGCTTGACTGGGCTTCGGTGGGCATTGAGCTCCAGACCATCAACTTGAGACTTGCTCAGTTTAGACCACTCTGCCACACAGCACTCCCCCCCCCCCCCTTACCGTTAAATGGGTATTTTTGTTTAATATGTCAATAAAATTTTGTGTAATTAAAAATAACACATGGGCATTGAGCTCCAGACCATCAACTTGAGACTTGCTCAGTTTAGACCACTCTGCCACACAGCACTCCCCCCCCCCACTTACCGTTAAATGGGTATTTTTGTTTAATATGTCAATAAAATTTTGTGTAATTAAAACTAACACACACAAAAATATGTAATTCTACATTGAGTCACACAAATTTATTTTTGTTTGTTGTGAATTTCCCCCGCCCTTTAAAAAAATATTTTTGTTAATTTCAGTAATACCGGTACACAAACCAATTGCAAATGATGTGAAAAATTTATAGCAACCATGGAAAAACACAAAAAAATACAATCCAGTCCTGCTTGTTACATTATCTTACCTCTCCTTGATTTCTTGCTTTCTAGAGAAAGGTTAATGTGGGCGTAGGTAAATTTTTAAGTACTAAGTTGGATTGTTTTAAAATAAATGCTTATCATTGATGATCAGGAGCTAAGAAGTTTTTTCTTGATTGAAGAACTATGAATTTGTGATTCCCCCCCCCCCCCCCCCCACACCTTCCTTTTTAATCAAATTGGAGATATTAAAACTTGATGCTATAAGATGCCACATTCTAATTTTATTTCTCAAATGAACCTGTAACATGCTTGTATTCGATAGTTTGAAAAGAAAATTATTTAACATGCATTTTAAAAAATATTAAGTCCTGTAATAAGCCATGGGTTGCAATTAAAAAATATATTTACACTGGTATGCAAACGGAGTATTATTTCAAAAATAATATTTAGACTCCTTTCAGTTAAACTAAAGATTTTTTTTTAATATGAAAAAGATGTGTATAAACAGTGTAATGCTATAAATATTGTATAATTTAAAAAAGCATTTGGATCAATATAAAAAAAAATTTAATTAGTGAGACACAAATAACTCGCAAAAAAAAAAATATATATATTTTAGCTTTAATTATGGTTACACAAAATAAAAATTCAAATGACATTTGCCGAAACGTTTAAATTTGTGTTTTGCGTAACCGCCATAATTTAAGCTCAACATATGTTGTTTCAGTTATGCCGATTGTTTATGTCTCATTAATTTTACTTAAAAGCTTTAACACAGTCCTACACTTTTATAATTAAAAGAAAATCAATCATTATTTTTAAAACTAATTGACATTAATCCATTTTTAAGAAAATATAAAAATGTGAACAAGTCCACAATTTTACAATCTATTTCTTTAAATCTTACCTGGTGAGGTTACTTTTTTCTTCCAAGGATATCTTTACCAGTTCAAGCTGACGAATTAACCCAGGATCAGTCCCATTGACCCATGTATACACAACATCAATTGGTAGTGGGACAGATAATCTTTTCAATGCAAAGGCAAAACATACATGCTGATATCTTTAATATAAAGATGATTAACAAACTGGAAAATTAAAAAATGTATCCAATTTAAAGATTAATATAATAAATATAAAAGAAAATAATTACAATTCACAAATTATAAGTGATGCTTTATATTAACTGATATGAATGACACCTAAATTACAATGTTATTCTTATTGCCATTTTTTTAAAAATATATAATTTTTGAAGGAAAAAAGATGTGGAGGAATTTTTAGTGTGAATGTTTAAACTTTTAAATTAGTTAATTAAAAAGAAAGAAAGGCATTTAAAAATTTTTTAAAAACACCAAAAATTATCCATTAAAATTAAAACATAGTGGATGCGTACACTGCGGCGGTGTACCTAGCGAAACCATCGGCTTTGGCCTGAGTAATCTGCGGCGGTGTACCTAGCGAACTCGTGGGCATTTGGCCCTGGTACACCCCGGCAAAAATGTACCATTGGCCTGGTTTTAAGATAATATGCATGTTAGACAAGACCTTGTGTGGTCAAGTGGTAGAGTGGACGCTTGGCGATATTATATTTTGAGATCAATTCCCCGTAGGGGATCTAGTTTTTTGTTCTTCCCATTTTCATTAAAAATATTTTATATTTAAATTATCATGTTCATTTGTAACAGTAGTTTCATGAGAAGTTTTTAAATATTTTGTAGCAATTTAAACAATTTAAATATTTGTGATATTTTATTGTATTTCAACATTCTTCGTGTAGTTGAATATTTACATTTTACTTTTACGAACACCCAAAGAAAATAACAGTATATCAATAATATGAATATTAATGTGCATGGTCGTATTTCAACCATCTTGTGTTCACTATGCATTGGCAAAATGTACACACGATATCAACGGTTCATTCACAACCCTCAGTCTCACAGCAAATCTTTTGAAAACACCACGATTTTAGAAACTTACGGCGCCGTAGCAAACTGTATAGCAAAGCCATAGGTCCGCGTTTACCCTGTTCATTACGGAATTTGTTTCCATAATGGCATGGCATGTGCTATTCTCAGGGTAAAACACGACGTTTTCTCACAGAAACCATTGCACAATGCGTTTGGGACAGGATTTACGATATTTCAACGTTTTTTTATTTGTTGTTTTTTTGTTAAGAAATCGATCCTTGCTGGGGGGTGGAGGTGAGTTATGGGTAGAGGCTTAACCAAAAAGAGGGCCTACACAAATCACGGCTCTGGATAGGGGTTGTCCACAAAGGACGTCCGCACAACAAACTTACCTTTTGCCCCCCCCCCCCAACCCGGAGGAGGGGGGTGCTGATGTCCGCCAACATTTTTTTTTAACCAATGTGTAATACCAATGTAAAACTACTTCAATGATATTTAGTTATTGTTAAAAGACTTTTAAAAATCAGTGCAGTGTTTCGTATTGATCATCATACTGTTGTTTTGTGTTGACAATCGCTTGATATCACAATGACAATGCCTCGAACAACTTTAACTTCACGACTTCATGATCAATGTATGTGATTCTCTTCCCGTAATGTATTTGTGGCGTAATTAAATCTTGGTGCTAACAAAATAGATGCACTGGATTCCCATTCATTTTTACACCACGCCCCGAGGGACCACATACAATATTATAATTATAATAATAATAATATTAATATTTTTAAGGGGTCTTATATAGCGCAGTACCCCAGCCTATGGCTGGGCTCACCGCGCTGTACATAAAAATTTTATCAAAAGAGACATAATCATGACATTAAAATAAAATACATTTATGAAATAAAGAACAGCAAAAAAATGTATATAATGCCTCCCCCCCCAAAAAAAAACAACTGAAATGCCCCCCCCCCCAAAAAAAAAAAAAGGGGGGGGGGGGGGGGGGGGGATCGGGGGAGAATAATTTCAAATTAGCTACCCTTTCTATGCCTATTAAGATTCACAATCATAGGATAAAACTTACACCAATTAATAAATACATTTGTATTTCAATATATGGGGGAAATAAAGTGGTTAACTTTAAAAAAAAAATCATGGTTTAACATTACACCCCCCTCCCTTCCAATAAATAATAAGAAATGCTCTACAAGTACTTTGCCACATAAGCGTGGAACTTACTCAATATCTTCCTGCCAAGGTACTAAACGATTTTTAAAGAAATAGTTTTCAGTTTTAAAAAGAGTATAACATTAAATCTACAAGCACCGGTTAGGCCAAAAAGTTAAAGACTCGCAAAGACCATGGTCTCACTACTTTAAATCACTACGATGTACGCAGGCCAAAGTCAATAGTTTCGCTAGGTACACCGCCGCGGTGTACGTAGTGCCGGCCAAATTAAAAGGATTGATGTGAATTAAATTATGAAAATATTAATCTTAAATTGTACTAAAAGTAAGTGCGATCATAAGTAGACAATTCTGGATCAGTGCTACCATCTTCATTACCTAAAAATACATAAATTGGACATAATACATACCTTTCTCTAAATGACTTGCCAGCAATATTGTCACTGAAAGAGTTGAATACAGCCTCATACTTTTCATGACTCCACTCAAGCCATGCCTGGAAATTTAACAAAACTTGGACTTCTAAATAGCATGAAGAGTCAACTTTACCAAAAATATGTTCAATTAAAAAAAAATATGACATGGGTAGTTTTATTAACATTAACAATGTTAAAAATTACCAAAATTATATTATAGCTGCAATGGGGTGCAATTTAAATTCAAATTAGTTTTTCTTTAACCTTTTTGTTACTGATGACGTCGACGCGACGTCACGATAATCCAAAGAGGCAAAGAACTTCTTTTATATTACCTCATGCACTTGTATTGTATCATCAAAAAGTTATAGTTAAAATAGTCTCAAGGCCAAGGCATGCAGATGCAGTCTCAACATTTTTAATAGTAGGCCCTCAACTAGGAGTTGAGCTAAAGAATTATAAAATAAATATAATAATTCTAGTTTATGCTACATTTACCTCTCCGAAATGAAGCGCTGATATTATAATAAGGAAGCCTCCAAAAATGAGCATAAGTATTCCATATTTGTGGGACAGGAGATCATAAACTCTTTTTTGAAACATCTTTTTGAAAGTCTCATCCATTTTCGGTTTATTAGAGCACCTGGTAGAGCTCCTTATCTTACCAAAGTTTGAACAGATATTATAAAATATATTGCAATTTTAAAAAACATTTTTACTGATAACATATTTTCTATAATTAATTTCTCATGTCGCAATGTTATGTTTTTCGCCATTTATTTACAACAATAAACCCAATGGGCGCGGCCATCTTGCAATCGGCTGCATTATGGGGTAGAGAACTCGTGGCTAATGTTTACACCGGAACAAAAACAACTTTCGCTTTCATTAATAACCTAATTTTTTAATAATTAATGATTGATTCCTTTTTGTCGTCATTTTATTTTATAATTTATTTCTTTGATAACCTGCAATAACAATTTTTATTCGATTACAAAGTGTCATTAAAGGTTTGATTTTTTTTTATAAATAGGTGTTGGGATTGGGGCAGTGGCCAGGAGAGCAACAAGGGATGGCGTCACCCAAGCTCAGGGCAGTTAGCTCATGGCTAGTTAGTCATATTGTCTTCTCCCCAGACTTTCCTATTCACCAGTCCTGAATTAAGCCAAGGGCAAAGAGTCACGTGACTAGGCCCCTCAAGCCTTTAAGTTTTAGGGACACGGGCTTAATTGAATTAATTTCTTATAATTGGGGGCGGAGGCTTGATGTGATATTGAGCGTACTAAATAGGCATCTCTGTATTAATAAATCACGACTATCTAAATACAGCCTCATGGTAGCCTCAGAGGCGTAGCGGGGGTGTTTGGCACCCGGGGACAAGATTCGCGCCCGAGGACAAAATCCATTTTAAAGCGCCCCTTTTTCTTTTTTTCAACTCTCAAACCCATTATTTTCATCAATAAAATACGCCTCTGGGTAGCCTACACTTGTTTTCTATAATCAAAAAGTTATAAATAGTCAAGCTTTATTATCATATGACATAGAGTAATTGAGACATAGCCCTAGAATCAAGGCCACACTGTTAATTTTTTAAAATTTAGCTTCGTATTTTCAACAGGTCTATTTTAAAAGTTGTCCCTTAAAAGTTGTAGAGATTTTAATATTTATTCAGAAATTTATTTTATTGAGTTGGCAATGCTGGTCCAGTCAGAGATGGTCACCTTTTTTCTAACTCAACAGCTTCCACCAAAGATTTCTGCATCGCATTTTGGGAATTCGATGGCAGGACAAAGTGCCTAACAGAGATTTTGGAACAAACCAAATTGTGAAGCATGTCTCCGCTCTTAGCAAGAGACATCTTGGCTTGTCAGGCCTTGTAAGGAGGATGTAGGAAGGCCATATTCCAATGGATCTGCTGTATGAAGAATTGGTAAGACTTACTGGACAGCCACAGCTGGGATTTAAGGATGTTTGCAATAGGAATATGAGCAAAGCCAAAATTAAATCAATGAATGGGAGTTCATCTCTGAGCACTGTTCCAGCTGGCGAATAGCAGAGAATGAAGGAGTCAAACAGGAATGAGGTGCACAAAACATAGCCCTTGCAACAAAAGAGCTATACAGACTGCCAAATTTAACAATGATTCAAGGTTCTCCTGTGAGAAGTTCAGCTGAGACTGCCATTCCAGGATCGGTCTTATAAGCTATTTCATTGAGAGTCAATAGCTCCTCCATTGCCTCTCGAATATGGAAAGATGACATATATAGATACCCAGGATATATATTTTTTTTTAAATATATACCGGCATCTGTCTGTCACAATGTGACAATGGTGTAGACTTAATGAATGAAATCTCAAGGCCTGGGATTTTTTATCTTTAGAAGGATGATCTGATTCCCTAGAGAGAAAATCACCTCCTTCCACACACCTGGATAACCCAAGCAGTTCACTGTTGTCGTAATCTCCCCCTGCCCCTAAGGTTACATTCCATGACAGTGTTGTACGTTCTGGTTTTAGCATTTGTGGAACACACTGGCACATCTATAAAAGAATGGCATAAAAATAAATCAAAACCCTGTTTAAGTTTATAAATTTGTTTAATTTTATTCAATGACGGGGGGGGGGGGGGGGGGGGGGGGGGGGGGGGGGGGAGAAAAAAAAAAAAAACAAACTTTTTTTTAAACTTCCAATTATTACATGGTACAAAATTTTAATGAAAATGAATGAAATATTCACTTTGGATATTAAAATTCTTCATATTTTTTTTTTACATTTTTCTTTTGACAAAAAAATATTAAAAATCAGATCTCCTTGATTCCAAGGGGATTAAAATGTCAAGGAAAAGTGTCATTTTTTTTTACAAATAATAACAGATTTTAAATTACAACAGTCACAAAGCCTGCTTTACAATAAACACAAATATTCTCATTATTGAATTTTTAGGGGAATTTTGATCTATTAAATTATTCCAGTGGCTTTTTAAAACACAGCCTATATGAATATGGAAAGTGAATTAACCCTTTTGTTACCGATGATGTCGACGCGACTCCATGATCACCCACTTTCAATTACCAAGGACGTCACATTGTCGTCATAACAAAGAGGCAAAGAACTTTTCTGAAATACTATGTCGTCACATCGACATCATATTTCAATGCTATTTATTTCTTTATTCGTTAATCTATAATCTATAGAGAAGTTAATAAGCGAATCTGAAAAGGAATGAATGATACTGGAAGTTTCTTTTAAGTTTTTATTGCAGAGTCAGCAAAAATCGATGCGCCCCCCCCCCAAAAAACAGTGGTAATGAAAGGGTTAATTTTAATGTTTTCTTGAAAATCTTTGTAAAGCGACACAAGTCAAATATTATTTTTAGTTTTCTCCCAATTTGACTAAACATGAGCTAAATTAAATGTATAAAATTATACACTTTCCATTCCTAAGCTTAAGAGTCCTAGCAATGTTACAAAATCAGTTAAGACTGTAAAAAAAAGCAAACAATATTGGCAGCATGTATATGTATGTAAATGTCTTTTTTACTGAGAAACATAAAATAACTTAAAAGACAAAACATGATATTATTTACAGATATTTTTTAAAGAAATATTTAGTTCTATGGCTACAAGCATCTTGGAGTTGTAGTTCTATGTCAAAATATTTGTTAATATACGTTAATAATATTCATTTAAGTTGGAATTTCAGTCAATCGGTATCAAACTGATTAAGCGAACAGGAAATTACTGCGATTGTATAAAAATAATTTTCAAAATTATTTTTAACTATTTACAGCCGATTTATTTTGCAGTCCCCCATCCCCACTGATTGACATTATGCATGAAAAGTGACCTTAGTGAATTTTGAAACATATGATTATAATTTCACTTAAAAATGGTTGTTTCCAATTTCAAACTGCTAAGTATACTTTTATACAGCTAAATCTTTCAATGTGATAAGCCTTTAATTATCCCCCTCGCAAATTACCCCACAGTGACTGAAAAATGAAAACATCAAAATATAACTGCATTATAGTTTATATAAATATAATATAAACTCACATGCAATGAAATATGACAAACATCAAAGTAATATTTTTTTTAAATCAAATAGGCTGATATTTGACAAACATAAAAGCATATGTGCTTCAAATAACTTCAATATCTCAAATGAAATGTCTAATATCTAAAATTTAATGATTTTATTATAAATATAGCGGATTTGAAAAATTAGGAAACAATTCGCAACTTACATAACTAGCCTTTCAGAGATATTTCAAAGAGGTAAATGTTTGGAACATGTGCAAATGAAAACTACTAAATATTTCTGCATCTTTAAAAAAAAAAATTAAACTGATATATGGTTAATGGCAGGATGGTTGATGGCATGACATAGCCCCTAGATGGGTCTTTTTCAGAACATTTTGTTTTCATACTGACATTACCAGACTCTCTTTCATTCTCAAGCACACAGTATAAATCAGCTATTCTCCATTCTAACCAGTAGACAAAAACTTTCAGTAATCCCCATTCACACAGAATCCCTAGACTCGCAATATCTCCATGCAGTTGTTGTAGCAAATACTGATCCAATCTGGCTGTGTGGACGACCACTGAATCTGATTGATCTCTCCGCCGGCCGTGTACGCCAGGATTGGATCTTCAATGGCCCGCGGCATCTGCTGGATGTCCCAAATCAGGGCCTGGTGATCATCTCCTGACATGAATTGAAAAACAGGTCAGTTGGATAGCAGCAAGGGCAATGTTAAGACATAAAACTTAACAAATGAGATCAGAGCAAATTATTGTCACCTTTAGCAAATTCATACTAGTACTACAAACCCCACCCCCCCACCCCCATCCTCCACCCCATAAGTGGATTTCAATAATATATAAAATTTTATTTTTATTGGCACTCAATTCTAGGTCACTACAAATCCTCCTGATAACTTAGAGGAGAAAAAGGGTAATTTATGAAACATCTATTTTTTAGATAAATATTGTTATTCAGTATCAAACTAAATCTGTAATTATTTTTTTATTAAACTCTTACTCATATCTGTAATTTTTGCAGTGGTTACCCACATCAGAACACATGCTACTCACCAGCAGTGCATATATGGCAACTAGAATGGGGAGCCCATCCAATACCATTCACACAAGCTCTGTGATTTGCCAAACGGGCAACTGGAGTACAGGGCACTCTTACATCAAGTATGATTACCTGAAAGATGAGGTAATATTTCAATCATTCATTTTTTTAAATATTAATTTTAAATTATAAAATTTTGCATTGTGAAATTTGTGATTTTTCTTTATGATTCATAAATAAATTGTGTCTATTTCAAAACAATGTACGATGAGAAATTTTGACTGATGATATTATATAACACTAACCTCAAGAGCATCTAGAGCCATGGTGGCCAGGTAGTTGGGGTCCTGTTTGTTCCATGCCAGTCTCAGTAGTGGAACATGTTGCTGATCCTCATAGATAATGGTTGAATGTTCCAGGTGCCTGAGGTCAAACATTCGCACCGAGCCGTCAGCACCTGGGGACAGGATTAAGTTTAACCTTATTATAAATTAAAATTGGCTACCTAAAAGACACCTTTTAATAGTGCTAATTAAATTTGGCTACCCAAAAGACAAAATAGTGTTACATTTTGATGGTTCTATCATTACAATAAATACACCCGGGCTAATGATCTTAAATATAAAAGTTTTTCATATATATTGTTTCTTTGCTTGTTCTTATACTGATGGAATATTTTTAAAAACATTTCCGGTGGGTGAGTGTCTATATATATTTTTTTATCTTTCTTTAGGAGGACTAGCTGGTGCTCTTATGCAATATTAGCTTGGAAGATTACGACGAACTCTAGGGATGTCAGCCCTGAGGACTATAGTTATTAAAAATCAAGTTTGTATATATTTTTCCCCACATGTCATAGTGCATCATTCAAACTTTAGGATGTATTATTATTGACAAAAAAGAATACTTCTAAAAAAAAAGTGTTGCAATTTTAAAAACAAGTTATTTAAATCGATCCAATTATTTAACATCATTTTCTCAATGAAGTGATTGTGTATTGTGTGGCTGAGGGCTTTAGTCTAAAACATAGAAAGGCAGTGAGAAAAAAAAACATCCCCTGTAGAAGCCCTGTAACTGTTAAGTTAAAATATCTTTTTATATTTGAATGTCTAAACTCATTCCATGTCACTTAAAGGGAATCAATACATTATTTTTACAAACCCCTATGAAAGCAGAGCCACATTTTAACTAAGGCGTGAGGGCAACTTACCGACACTAGCAAACATGTCTCGACCACCTCCAGCTCGACTGAATGCAATATCATAAACCTCCTTGTCGTGGGCAATGAGTTGTGTTTTAACATGGCCCGACACAACATTCACACGACCCAGCATCTGACCAGTCTGTTCAAATGGTGCAAAGGTGAGGCAATAAAGAATGTAAAAAAATAAGAGGTAGAACTAACAATAAAGATAGTAAAGCTATTCCAACAACTGTGCTCTATCAAGTGAAAAAAATGTTTAATTGGTGTCTATATTAAAGCTATATTGTGAAATAAATTCATGTAACACATATAAGTTTGTACAGTTTTGTGGAGGGGGTGTTACTTCAGAAAATGTGTATTAAGCAACATCATTATCAAATACATTTAAATAAAAATAACTACTAAATTGTTTGTCTTTTACATGCGAAGATGTAGTAGCCTTCACTTGAGTTGTATTATGTTCAAAGTGAGGGAAGAGTTGTTCAATTTGTCAGCCCCACTCTTGCCTTGCCTATTTATTCCAATTGCAAGACTTAGTCAAGACGTTGTGTCTTATTCCAGTGCTTTTTTTTTTTATTGTGTTCCATGTCACAGAAACTGTAGGAATTTTCATTTTGTGTCAATGACCTATCACCTACGGAACTCCATCTTGGGGTTTGATTTCAAAGTTTGCCTCTTCTTAGATGAGGTGCCATCCAAGATTAATGAGTCCCATCCACCCGGGGTGCTGGTGTTGCTTTTGCTTGTCTAGGCTTTTGCTGGGGATTGAACAGCAGTCCACAAGCTTGGTATTGACTCAGTTTAAGACCACTCCACCACCCAGCATCCAAAGAAATTTTTTTTTAAAAATAATAATAATAACTATTCATACCTTTTCTATATATATTTATAAAGAGGTCACTCACCTCTAAGCCCCATATAGTACAAGTTGTATCAATGCTAGATGTCCCCAACAAGTTGGCATCTACCTCATTCCAGTCAAATGATGTTAGTGGCGCACAAAAGTCTGAGTTCTTGTTCTGAGAGGGTCAATGAAAACAGTTTTAATCCGTCTCTTGATAATTAAATAAAAAAGAAAATCTCTCAATCGTAACAGTAACGAAGGAAATCAAAGTTACGACCATATTTCACAGGTTTTACATTTCGCACACATGTGAACTTACAATAAGTAGACAGAACTTACATTATTGAGTAAACATTCAAGTCTTGTTTCTGTGTCACCCACCCTCCAAACTCGCAAATAGTCACCTGAGGTTGCTAACAGATCAGGGAATACACCTTTCTGTAGCATGGAGGGATAGATATGTTTAATAAAATCAATAACCCTTCTTTGCTTCCATTCACTGTCTCTATTATTATTAAAAATTTAACAACAAATATTAGAACAATTAACACAGAGGGAGACCTGCTTGAATTTGACATTGCTTCTCACCCATATAGGGTTTCACACCAATATTTTAATTCCAAAAAAGCCAGGGAGGATTTTTCTTTACAATTAATGAAAGAAAATAACTTTGACTTAAATTAAAAAAGGAAAAAAAAATATTTTAACAATACAGACATTAAACTTCTTTTAAACATATTTTAGATTACACAAACTCTTAGAGTAAAACTAATAAATTATTTAATATAAGTTAACCGAACCAAAAAATAAAATATTATTTTAGCTTACAGAGTCTGGAATCCACATGATTTTTGTGGTAGGATATGGATGATCAAATGTGCTTTTTGCAGAGAAATCTGATGTCTCCTCATCTAAACTGACAATCTGAACCTGGAAAAAAACATTTTTGTCAAGATTACTAGCATTTTTAAAACTTTCTAAGTCTAAGTATTGTTCAGTCAACTTCCTTTTCATTTTTATGAAGCCATTCTGTTGGTAAGATGTTTGTTGTTTTAAACAGTTTAGCATATGTTGAAATTTCCATTTTATGTTTAATATTTGTCTTAGACATTAGATTATAAAGGTGTAATTTTTCTTTTTAAAAAAAAAACTATCCTTGCTGTAACTCCATGTTTACCTTCCATAAAATTCCCAGTTGGTATTTTTTTAATGTTAGGATTTGGACCTCACTGAGTGTCGAGACGTTGAATCCGTTGTGTTGTAATTATTCGCTCATGGCAATGAGTGTCTACTAGTCTACAATATAGCTAATATCAACAGTTACTAATACAACCAACGTTAACATGTTTGTAGCTACATAGTAGTTTATTTAACACTACTCGATGAACAAGACTTGATGTATAATTTCAGAATTTGATAATCAAATCACTCTTACCAAACATTACTCAATATACCAATCCAAACAATTCATCCAGTATACCCGCCATCAATTCTCTCAGCTCAACAACCGCCATCTATCTTCTATAACAACAACAAAAAACAAACGCGTCACTTCCCACTACACAATTACGTCACAACACTCTCACACAAAGGATACAGCTACACATAAAATCTTTGACTAAACATCTTTTCACTATCAAACATTGAAACAATAATCTACACATAACAACAGTGATTCTTATACCCTTGACACTGAGCATAAAAAAATGTTCAATATACCGTTTGGATTTTGTCTTTCATATCTTCTTCCGTCCCTCCTTCCTTCTTTATGGTGCTGCCTAGACACTAGTCAGACAATGGAGTCACCCTCTTACAGCTGTCCTTTCCCTTAGTTATACTGTTTTTAGAAGCTTATTGTTTCCACTCTCATTTCCTTGATTTTATTGTTTAACCCTAAAAGTTTTTCTTCGTACTTCATTTAGTTATTTTTATTTTGAACGTCTGTTGATGAAGGCTTCAGGCATTTTTTTTTATTTTTCTTTAATCAAATTTAATATTTTATTTGATAATTTCAACTACCGGTACCGGTTATGCAATTTACAAAAATATCAATGGTATAACTATAAAGTAAGGCCAGTAACCTTTCTTTTTTTAATTAGAATTTTTACACATATTTTTTGTAATATTGAAAAAAAATATTAGTGGGCCATTTGAAATTATTGACAGTTCTACAATTTTAAAAATAATGTAATTCTATGTTTCAAAATGAATAATCCATTTCCAACATTAGAACAATTTCTTCTGTCTTTACATTAACATACCTTATTATTGTATTCCTCAACAAAACTTCCAAGAGCAAGTCGAAATCGTTTGTCAGGTCTGACACTCCAGTTCATGCTGTACACTGTCCATGGTGCCTCATATTTATAAATTTCCTTACGTTTGCCCGGAGGCACTGGTGGCGGCATAGCCATTATTGCTGGATAGAAATATCATACTTTAATTTTTAAGCCTTAAGTCACTAAATACCAGTATACAAAATTTGAACAATGCAAAATAAAGCTTCGCTGAAAGATTGGCTTACTAATGACAATATGTTTAAACCAGTGGTTCTTAAACATTTTCAGTATTTCTTGCATGACAGTCTTTACAATTTTTTATATCATTCGTGGACCCTTTAAAATTGAATACACTTTAAAAATAGGCTACTGTTACCAGAGCAAAATTTGACAAACAATTAATTACTCATTCAGAAAACAAGTACATCTCATTCATCAAATGTACATTCAATAAGTTGAATGCAACTGCTTTTTAGTTCTTCTATGTTTGGTGTTGTTTTGGCCAGTGCAACTCTCATGTCATTTTTCGCATCTCATCTGGATTTTGTTTGGAATAAAGCAGTGTGGGACAAGCTATCTCACACTCATATATGTGGTTGAAAAGACACCTCATGTGGGAGTGCAATGAGAGTGTTTCAAATCTGGAACCACTTTCTTTTCATAACTCAGACAACAAATGAATCTGTCTACTATACAGTTGATCTAGAGCTGTGGTTCTCAACCTTTCTACTGCCGGGACCCTTTAATACAGATCCCCATGTTGTGGCGACCCACAACAACAAAGTTATTTTCGTTGATACTTTACAACTGTGGATTATATGTGTTTTAAGATGGTCTTAGGCCACCCCTGTAAAAGGGTCGTGCGACCCCCAAAGGGGTCGCGACCCACAGGTTGAGAACCGCTGATCAAAAGTTTCAACAAAAAAACACAAAAAAAACCATATTCCCATGCTACAGTTACACTGTATTGAGAAAATCATTAATTTTAATAAAAATATTTAAACTACTTTCAAAGTATTCAAATTAAAGTTTCATCGAATACACTTTTAAACACTTCATAAATCTAAAAGATGTCAGAAAGTCAAAATCCATGTTTCAAAATGATCAGACAATTTAATAACAAATTCAAAATAGCCTCTTTTGAAATATTATAATCAACCATGTTATGATATATTAATTTTAAAAAGCCATCAAACAAAATCATTCAATTGGCGTTTTAATATTAAAACAGGAATAGTTAACTCTAGTAACAATCTAAACAAAGGGGAGGTCACTCGTCAGAAACTCTGGACCGAAACTTCAAATGTAAATTTACCAATATTTTTCATTAGGCTGTAGAATATTTCATTTAAATGTCTATTTAGAATGACACAAGTTACTGCCAGTAGGGGTCCTAATTAGGGGTGTGCCGGAATCCGGTCCGGAATCCGGTTCCGCCGGATTTTGCACTATCCGGTGAAATCCGGTTCCGCCGGATTTACATGTATCCAGAACAACCGGAATCCGGAATATACCGGAATTCGGCAGACTTTGTGACTCACCGGATCCAGACCTGTTTACTCTTACGATTTTGGCGTACAATGTACGATTTTTAGATGTCTTTTACGATTGTACGCCAAGACCCTCCAAAACTACGATTTTCAGAGACCAGGTGGAAAAAATGTTCCCCCGATTTAAAAAAATTAATAAATTTTCGGGTTTGGACGTTTTAGCCCTCTCTAATAAAGATCTGGCAGTGAATATGAACGAGAAAAACGATTGGTTGGATTTTTTTTTTTTAAAGTTGGGACCATCCTTATTATATTTCGAAAGCACTCATGGGGACTGGGGAGGTGGGGTTGTTGATGACGGAAATTGTGGCATACGAGACACACATGGGTAGGGGATTGGTGGGAGTGTCAAAGGATATAAATAAATAACCCCGACGTATCGTATTGACGGGATCACAGTGAACTAGCTGGCTGCGTCAACAGTAATATTTAGACTTGTCGCCCTAGCGACAACTTCACCCGCCATCGCCTTTGACTGCTACCAAGCGTGTGACGTAGTTTTGGTACATAATTATTTTGTTCCTCAGAACCGCAGCGATTGTAAAACTAGAGATGGTTTTTAAAATAAAATAGATGATCCAACTGTTCTGCAGTGGAGCGTTGGATTTTGGCATACCGGTATTTTATAAGATCCAGTCAGCGACATTTACAAAATATTTTCATAACTGGCAAATCAGCTCTATGCCTTCAACGATTTTAATACAACAGTTTGATATCACTACCAGGGTTTCTTTCAGCTATATCTCCCACACGATCACGATACATTAATCGATTGTTTCGAGCGTTGAGCTTGTTTAATGTTTAATATTCCGAACATACCAGAGGCTAGAGTCAGCACCGCTAATAGTGGCCAATCGGCCCAATCCCATACATGATAGTGCCAACTGTTCAGAAGGCATCCAACCCCTCAGATTTAGCGGTATCTGCAAAGTACCAAAATCCGGATCCGGCGGATTTCGCATAAGAAATCTCCGGATCCGGTTGGAAAAAACGGATCCGGCACACCCCTAGTCCTAATTGACCTATTAAATTTAGTCTGTTCACAGTCTACAGTTTTCACACAGTCACAGAGTAGGTATTTCCATTATGAAGTATCTACACGTTCGTGCAATAGTGCTGGAGATATACGTCCTGCGGACATGTCATGTGACCGCCGGACGACAAGTGGGAGAAATACTTCTGGCAGGCACGTGACCGCCCGCCAGACGACTAGTGGAAGATATTATTTCGGCGGTAGACATGTCATGTAACGAGTTGTCGCCGGCAAAATAGTTGCATTGCATTTGATATTCCAAGATTATGGACACATATTAATCAGCTAATCCCTAAATAATAAATAAATGCTGAACATGGTAATATATTCAGATGCATAAAGTGTTTGACTTTGAATATTAAACTGATCAGCCTATTTACTAAATAGTAGTACTATTACTACTACTATAACTAGTCTGTTTGATTCTGACTCTTCAAAGAAAAATGTCCCTTATCTTGCTTAAACATCATGTAAAGCTCTAGCTTGAAGCCTAAATTTAAAATATGAACCAAATAAAATTAGACCAGTAGACTTCAGTTTCAATAGATCTATGTCAATAAAGTTATATTTCAGGATTATATTACTTAATATTGCATGAGACGTAGGCTAGGCTACCACTATATCAGCCCTATATTTAGCTGTAAGGTGTATGTCTTTGTGAACTATCGGCCTCCCCAATTAATCGTAATTATTTATCAATCATCCTCTCTATTATTTTTTTAGCATTCGTAATGTTTATTACTGTAATAATCTCTCCCTCTCAGCATTGCTTCGTTCTAGGATGCATTATTGTTTAACCCCCACTTTGTTGTGGTTATATACCCAAGTATTTTTTTTCTATTATATGTTTGCACGACACTTAGTAAATTACTTGGTAGAGAAATATATTTTAAAATTAACAACAGTTTTGAATCATTTGTGGTCACGTGACAAGGCAGATGGACGAATATCTTGAGCCACTTTGTTACGGCGGTCATGTGACTTGGTCGCCGGACAAATATCTCGATAAAATATTCTTCCGGTGGTCATGTGACTTGGTCGCCTGACAGATAGTGCGGGAGATATACATCCGGCGCGCCGGACATGTAGACACTGCCTTTCCATTAGGCAGGCTATATTCATATTAACATTAGGCACTTTGGACTTGAGCCTAGAACTAGCTATTCTTATACTACCTATAATAATGTAGCATTTTTGGTGCTTGTAGGATGATTGGATGCTAAAAAAAAATAGCCTACTTAAGTGACTTAAGGCTACTTAACTTAGTTATTATTTAGTCCTGGCCTTGTACTTTAACTTAGCCCGCCCCAAGCTTTAAAATTGACTTCAAATTTTAAAGTTAAGTTATCATGTATGGCCCGACCCAGAGCATTGTCTCTTAGCCAGAACTGTGTTGTCTGTATATTTTTTTGTGGACAAAACTCATAAAGTCAAAGTCAACTGACACTGACAACGAATTGTCGCAAGTGGGCAAGTCGGACAACTGAAGACTTCACTTCAAGACTAAATTAGCATAAGATAAAATCTAAAAAGATTGAGGATTTTTAATGTAATCAAAAGATTTGTACTCACTTTGAGAGTGAAACTTTGAATGTTAGGTCCTTTATAAAATGAAGTTGTGAGATTTACTTCTTAACAATTAACTGTCTATATATTATTCAGCCATTGTTATTTACTTAGGGCGAGAAATATGTTTACTTCCTGTTTCATATCACCAACAGTTGGTGTTTTTGCGACATAATAGTTAAGCTCTTAAAAGCTGTAGATATTTTTTTTTTAGTTAAGTTAAATTAAACATTGTTAATCCTTCATACCCATTATTTGATCATTTTATAATAAAATTTATATAGAGCCTGTAAAAAAAGGCAAACTTAAGTATTGGAAAAATGAATGTCGTAAAGAAGGAACAGACAACTTTTGTGTTGTGAACGCTTAAAATTATACTTTCTTATACCCCGGTATTGATAAGTTGAACGAAGTGGCTATAGAATAGGATTAGAGTTAGAGCTAAAGAAATAAAAATACATTTTAACCAAAAGTTTGGATTGATTACTAATACATCATTCTTAAGCCCAATTTAATACGAAAACAAGTCTGACTACTTTGAATTAAGATCATTAAAATTGACTAACTTAACTAACTAACTCAGGCTCTCTGCTTTCTCTTAAACTGTCTTAACTTTGACTAAGTCAAGTAATTAAGTTAAATTAGTAAGACTTTAAGTAAGACTAAATACGAAAAAAAAAATGAAAATAACGGGTAATTAATTAATTAATAATAAGTCCAACCCTCAACTCACTGTGAACTCACTTGCTAAATGTGATTGTGACCTAGCCTAGTCTGGAAAAACTTTATCACTGAAATTGTGAAAGAAAAGTTTGTTTACCAACTAAACTATAACTATTTGGACTTACAAATTATTTAATTTGTAAGTTTACGTAATAATTGCTTTTAGTTTATAATTAAGCGTAATTAGTGTATCAATATTTAAGACAATGATTTTCATATATAGGACCCACAGAATAGCAATAGCATCATTCATCAACATATACACAAAAACCGCATCCATGTATTTATGTGGTTAATGAACAAAATCTGCCTGTAAAATGTTAAAAGAAAATTATTTATGCCGTTTCTTTACTTAAACTTATAACATTTCATTTCCAGCAGGAAAAATGGCTAATGATCTCACCAATTCTATTATGAGAACAGTTTCATTTGTTGAACGAATTGAAGTAGAGTTTCATGGGAACATTTTGACACAGGCTATGGTCCTGGCAGACATTGACAATGACATGGTAATATTTCATTTTTATGAAGGAGTAATTAATTTGATTAAATTTAGAGTTGTAATGAGGTAGACCTAAAAAAAAATTCCTTGAATTGTAGGACCCATTTACCCAAAAGAGCATTGACAGGTTGGAGGCGGTCCTGCGACGGGCAGCAGGCCTGTTTCCTGCACCGCTACAGAAATACCTCTAGTGTTGGCAGCATGCTGGAAACACTGGGCTGGTCACCATTGGAGGAACGAGGATGACTATCCAGGCTCTCCATAATGTACAAGATAAATAATGGACTGGTCCACTGCTCCAACTTTAAACAGAAACTCATCCCTCTCCCCCATAGACAGCGACAAGGCCATGACAGGCAATTCCGGCTCATACCAGCGAGAAGCCAGTGTAGGAACTGCTCATTCCTGCCAAAGACAATCAGGGACTGGAACAAGCTTTCAAAAGGAACAGTTGAGGCGACAACACTTGAAACATTTGCGTCTATTGCCTCAGGCCTTCCAACCCCCAGTTCATAATACCCTCACAAAGTAGCCCTTGCAACCAGTGAAATACCCTCATCAACACCAGGCACAGAAACATTTCAAATCCCCTCTACATGCATAGAAGCAAAAATGATCAATAAATTGATCATGGGCCCTTAATATATAGAAGAAGAAGAAAAGTTTTGCCATTAATGTTGACCTATTAAAATGAATATAGCTCACACAAAAAACGTACCTTTGTATTATAGCAAATTTTAGTATTGATGGTTTTAATGATGCAGTTAATTTCAGCTAAATCCTATAAATTAATTAATCTAACAAATAAATTTGAGGCATTTTACTTTTGGTCAGATTAATTCATTTTGCATTCACTGTGCAATACATGCACACAGCTGCTTTATGATTTTCATATTATCAGTAATCTGTTAAAGGATCTAATGTAATGCCTTTGTTTTTCTAGTCCAATGAACTGATTGTTGGTAATATAGATGGCTATGTTGCTATCTTCAAAGGTGAATCTCCGAAACCCTGGAAAAAAACAAATATCAGTGGGATGGTAAGTCACTGCTTGAAGCATAAGGGAATGCAGATTTTTATTTTGTATTCAAAATAATTCTGCTCTATTTATATTCTATTTTAATAATTATGTTTTGATGTAACTTCATTAAAATAAGGTTTATTTCTTTACATTCAGATGATTGTTTAACTTTTTTCTCATAACGAGGAGATCAATTAAAAATCTAATATTTACACCTAAGTGCGAAAAAATATTCATTATTAACATCACTAAGAACCCTTTCTATGTAGCTGACCTGTTTAGCCGTTGGGGAAGTCCATTTGCAAAAGAAGGTGAGTCTTAAAATTAATTGATTTATTTGTAAAATTAGACCACTGTTTATGAGAATTAATTCAGATGAATATTATTGCATATAATTCAGATGAATATTATTGCATATAGCACGATTCACATATAAAATTTCTGTTCTCAAAAACCCCCAATGAATGATAGAAACATCCATAACACTTTTTCTTCCTCATTTATACCATCTATGAACGCCTAACTTTTTGTTTGGATAAAGACCTAAAATTTCATATCCACATATAAACATAATGCAATCTTTTAATCTTTTTTTTTTTTTTTTTTTCTTTAAAATTATTAATAGAACTAATGCATACTAATTAATGAAAAAAATATTAATCTAAATAAAAAAAACTCAAAATCCTTTAAATTAATTTTCCATCTATGAACGCCTAACTTTTTGTTTGGATAAAGACCTAAAATTTCATATCCACATATAAACATAATGCAATCTTTTAATCTTTTTTTTTTTTTTTGTTCTATAAAATTATTAATAGAACTAATGCATACTAATTAATGAAAAAAATATTAATCTAAATAAAAAAATCTCAAAATCCTTTAAATTAATTTAAAATATTTAAAATAAACTGTTCATACAAATACAACAATGCTAATATCCCATCAAGGGGACGCTGCTTACATTATGTTTTTTCCGAGAGCTTAAAGTTATTTATTTTATTCGTTTTTAAAAAAGAAAATATTTTTGTTTTTTAACATTTGACAATTTATATATTTGTTGTTGAAAATGTTGTTTTTTTTTAAACCTAGCAAACCTATTCATGACGCTCGCTTTCTATGCCCTAAAGTTTAAGTGAATATCTTTTATTTATTAATAAGAAAATGTTTAATGTATTTTACACAGAATAGCCTTGTGTGTATGACAGCTGAGGGCTGGTGCTACATCTATGACATTTCTACTCAACATTCTGCCCAGGTACGGCAACAATAGAAAACTAATCTAGAAAGTCTTAGGTCTAGCCTTGGGCTGCTTAGGCTGTTCTTAAATGACCTGGGGGCAATTCTTGTGTAGATTTGCAAACTATGTTGTTGCAATTTCCCATAAAAGAAATTCAACTCTTTTTATGCAATTCATGTGATGTCATTACAGATTTTTACCAGCCTCTGGTATCATGAGATCATCTTCAGGTTTAAGGTTTAACAAAAAATATGAGGCGGATATTTAAACTGTCATCGGTTTGTCACTGTCAGAATAAAACTGTTTCAGAATGTAAACATGATGGATGATGACGCAGATAATATTAGGCCAATTTTCACACAAGAGCTGCCAGCCAACGCAAAAGTTATGTGTTTAGCCGACATTGGTAGGTTATTCTACAGAACAGCATTTATGGTGTGTCAAGTTTTTCACTCACTCCATCATTTATTTAGTTTACTAAAATTTAATTGCATTTTTTAATGTCGCAGAATAAAAAATTTGAAAAGAGGAATGAAAATTGCTACTAGTATTTTCTTATATTGTCAAACAGTTACGTGGTTTCTTTGCAAGGTAAAAATATTTTAGTTTACATAACGACCGATTCATGTAACTTAAGTTACCTAACAAAAAAATGCTAATTTTTTAATAAATGTTTTGGTTACATTAGACTCTGATGGTCATGCGGAGATGGTGATTGGCTACTCAGATCGTGTCGTGCGGGCTTTTAGATGGCAAGAAACACCTGAATCAGACACTGGTCAGTTTATCTTAATGCAAAGATGGCAGCTAGCCGGACAGGTTAGATGCCCACTATTGTATTATTCCATTGTATTTGTCAAATTCATGTTACTTATTACAAAGTATTATTTCTGAATGAAAAGACTAATAATTCATTGCAGACATGCTGCACTTGTTATTGGGTTTTAATGGTATTATGGTTTATAATTTTTGGAAGTGATGATTCACTATTATGCTTTTTAAGAGTTTGGCTGAAGATACATTTTGTGAATTTACTTATTTAGGAAGATGCAATTAGAAATAAAATTGTATGAGATGGTAATGTGGGTTTGCAACTTGTTCAACTCAAATATTTGTTAATGTATAAATATTTCAGATTGGAAGCATTACCATTAATTATAACAAAGATCACCACCCTGAGATAATGGTGTCACAGCCTGGGGCAACCTTTGTAACACTTCTGCTAAAACCTGCATTCAGACACAACAAATCAGACAGCTACCTTGATAAAATGACCAAACACGAATACTCACTGGAGCGAAGTGGCAGTTTTGTCACGCCTGCCAAATTTGACAGCACAGCTTCGGTGGGCACGCCTAAGTCTGATATTTTTGCCAGTAAATCAGACACTGTCTCAAATCACCCTGAAGCCCCCTTCAGCAGACCGTCAGAGACTGCCTCAGATAAATTCGATCTTAAGTGCCAGACAACGTTAAACAGGGGTGACCACAGCGCCAAGGCCAGCCATTCCGAGACCACCCCAGAGAAGAAGGATGAGAAATTTAATTTGAGACAGAGCCAAGAAAGGTTGGCAAGCTCACCGGCTGCCAGGCTCAGCAACAGCCCGCACAATTGTACAGAGGACACCCTTGACAAAGCCCACGGAAAACTGAACCATATATTTGATGCCTTAGATTCTTGTGAGTAAGTACAATCATCAAGGTTAAGGAATTTTTTTTTAATGAATATAAAACACACTAATGTCATCAAAAGACTAAAAGTTATAAAATTGGATATCACTAGAAAAAAGGATTAAAATTTGTTACCTTGTCTAAAACCATTTATATAGCTAATTTATACCATCCCTTCCTCATTGTTATTTATTGTGGTATTTAATTTTTGTAATATCTGTAAATATTGTTTAGTGAGGAGCTCTTCAAGCCCAATCTTATCTACCATCCCTTGGCCCACATGCAAACAAGGAATAAAGACACCAGTACTGTGATTGTTGGGGGAATCAACAGAGAAAGGGCATCTCAGCCAAACGGTGGTGCTGTGTGCCAGCAAGGAGCTACATATTACGCGCTGGCTACATTGGATGGTAATACTGTTAACTTTTATTTATAACATCATCAGTGTTTAACCATACGCTTTTGTATCCTGTTTAATTTCTAATTGAAAGCTGTTGGCATGACTAAATGACCTTGTTTCTAAATAATTATGAGAAAATATTATATAGGTTGCCCTTAGCAATTCTCACATTACAGTATTTGAAAACAGAATAAATCTGTGAAAATCTGACAAATTTTTTAATAGTATGGCTGAAATTTTTTGAAGATTAATGAGACACAAACAAGTTGTGCAAAATAAAACAATGTATGTTAAGCTTTAATCATGATTATACAAAATACAAATTCAAACATTTTGGCAATTGCCTTCATCAGTGCAACAAAAATCATTCAATAATTAGAAATTAAATTTACATAATACTTTTATATCCGACCTATACCTAAAAATGAAAGGAAAGAAAATAATTAGAATGGGCACCAGTCCCAAATGAAAACAAAGATCAGAAGAAGGTAGGAACCATGTACAGTTCGCGTATTCTAAGAATTTACACTATCACTGAATCACTAAGGATGTACACTATCACTGAATCACTAAGAATGTACACTATCAGTGATCACTGAATTCGAATTGCGATGCATGGTCTTAAATATTCCCAGAGCTCTTGTTCTATTTTCAGGCTCCTTGATTTTAGTAGAGAATGATTCCATACTGTGGTCTTTACAAGTTGACCATTACCTGTTTGCTTTGGCCAAGCTAGATGTGACAGTAAGGATGCATATATTTTTGTTGTCTTCCCTGTTGAAATAACTTGATAAATAATTTCACTTAAGTTTTTTATTGCTACTTTCTGGTTTTTGTTACTTCTTCATTTGTCCTGTCTGCTGAGGAAGGTGCTCTTAGCCGAAACGTTCTTCTTTTATTTTCCTGTCTTTCTATTTCAAGCATTCACATACCTCGTTCTGCTACTTCCTTCACTCAGCTTGAACGCAGTCCTTTATTTATTATGAAACTATTTGAAAGAGATACATTTCTGATCCCCCCCCCCCTAGAATGTTGCTGAACACACAACTCATTTTCGATACAGGGTAATGGCCAAGAGGAAGTTGTCTGCTGTTCTTGGAGTGGCCAGACTTACATTGTGAACCACAGTAAAGAGATAGTCCGATATCATTTCCCGGATAGTGTGGCAGCATTTTGTGCAGGTATTGAATTAAATCCTATGCAAGTAGTTAATTTTCTATGACCACTCTTTGCTTCATCTTTCTTTGGAAACTACTATCATATCCTACTCTTTCTTAGGAAACTAATAGCATATTCTACAACTGCGTGTTAATAAATCAAGTATATTTTACAGTTTTCTTCTTGAATAAACCATTTTGTGGATAGAAAAAGTGAGAGAAAGAGGAACATGTTTTCAACAGATTGTTGTTAATTGTTGAGCTGTTCCTATTAAGAAATCTTTTCATTTTTTTTTACTGCACACATTGCCTTCTTTTTTATGAGGCTTGACTCTTACTTCTTGATATTGCAGGGTATTATTCTTTACGAGGGGAAGGTACTAACTCTCCCTGCTTTGTGTATGCTACTTTTAACAACCGCATTTACATTTACCCAAACATCACATTACCTCGAGTGGAATCAACCAATTTGTTGGAGGTCATGTCAAGAAACAAGGAGACACATAAATTGTTGCAGAAACTAAGTATTAGTGGTGTGTATTCCATTGTACAGTTTTGGCTAATAAAAATCATTGGACCACGGCAAAGCTCTTAAAGGTTTAAAGCCTTGATGTAGTTTGAATCAAGAAAAACCAATCATTAATAGGACTTGAAGCCTTCTTGAGTAAACAAAGTATATTATAATAATGTATATTCAAAAAAGCTGTTGAAATCTTAAAACTATTATTTTTGTTGGAGGCTGGGTTTAGAGAATTTTGTGCCCTTAAACTTCTTGCTTTTATAAACCGAAATAGAGCTGTTTAATTTATAAAAAATCATTTCACTTTTGTTATATTTCAGCTGATGACCATGATTCCGTGCGCAAACTTTATCATTGGTGTTTGTACGGACAGCATAACAAGTCATGAATAAAATCCGTTTTTTTCTTTTTAATATCTTTTCAAAAAGTTGTATGTGTGCACTTCTATATTCAGTGCAAAATATGCATATTTTTTAATTTACAAAATTTAACTGAAGTGACCATTGATGGTTATTGCTAATCTTGTTTGAGGAAGAACTAATAATCTCTAATTGGAACCCTCAAATCATTCTTTAGTCATGTTAGCATAAAAATGATTATGGTTGATTTTTTTTTTTTTTAATTTTACATTTGAATGGGAATGTCTGAATCCAGCAGCATATTTAAAATGGTTTTGACATTGAAATTACATGGTCATTCAGATAGTATTAATATTCACTTATTAATGCACTGAGGTGTTTTGTTTTTTTTTTTTGGTTCTTTTTGCTATCAGAATTAATTTTAACTCTTTTTAGAAACAAATGAGTTGGTATGACATTTGAAATAGGTTTAGTAATGGATCTTTCAATGTAATTTTTGATATATGATATGCTTCCGGTATTTGAAAATATAAGAGTCAAGAGTATTAAGATTAGGCCAGTATTAACTATTACCATTAAAAATATACATTTCTTTAGGTCTACCTTTAATTTTTTTAAATAGTTTATATTAAATTATATTGTTCTTGATTGACTAATTTTATTTAATTTCAAGCAAAAAGTTGTAGTTGCTTTATCAAATTAACTTTTTGAAATGGCTCAAAAATAGTTTGTTTTTTCAACTGTTAAAAATAGATTAACTATTACTATTATTACAGTGATTACAGTGGTCTTATATAGGCTAGGCTCACCCTGCTTCACAAAAAATTATTGGCAAAAATAAACTTGACATTAAAACAGTTACATACATTTATTTAATTTAAAAAAAGCTATATAAAATATATATACATATATATTCAGACACCCCCCCTCTTCCTTCCCAAAAACCATTTACATGTCAAGCCATGGACAGCAGCCAGCAGCATCGTTTATGGGTCAGAGGTGGGTGAGAATCATTTGGGACAATATAATTTGAAGAGATGTGTCTTGAGTGCAATTTTGAAGGCTTGGATGGTCAGTATATTGCGGATGTGTAATGGGAGAGAATTCCATTGTTTGGTGTCGCAGAAAGAGAAAGATCATTCATCATATGTTTTAGTGCGTGTCCTGGAAACAGAAAGAATACATGTGTCTGCAGAGTAGTGACGCTATCGAAAGGGTGAATAGGCAGAAGAAGTTCAGTTAGGAATCTGAGAAAAAGTTGTGGCAGAGAACAGACAGTTTGTAGTCAATATGTGCTTGTAAAGAGAGCCAATGAAGTGAGTGAAGCAGTGGAGTGACATGATGACTTTTTTTTTTTTTTTGCCTTTAGAACTAACCTAGCAGCTAATAAATACAGTTTGTTTTTATCAGCACCAATGAACCTGAGAAAACTTCAGGTTTAAATTAAACTTTCCAGCAATCTGTAATTGTATTTATATATATATATATATATAAAATTTAGCTTGAATTTATTAGATTGTTGCTAATGAAATCTTTGGAAAAAATTATTCTCATTACAATTTTTTTTAATCCAAGTGACACAACTGATTAAGGCTCATGTGCTCATTTACTTCTTCTAAAAATCGGTTAGGTCAGATAGAATAAGACTGGCAGTAAGATGTCATCAATAAGCAATATTAATATCTTATTTTGCTTGCAATTGAAAGAATGTTACTCTGAACATTAATTATGTAATGTTGCTTTCATATAAACGTATAAGTCAACTCCTTGTCATTTAATAGTTAATTCTTTGTGAATAAAGGTTCTTGTTTATGTTGCCAGCTGGGTTGGTGATTTTATTTATTTGATTTTGTTTAGATTGTTAAATAATCATGAACCCTCCTCCTCCACCCCCACCCCGTGTATGCTTTGTACCAAACATTGACATTCAACTTTATTGGATACAACAATGTCAGTGTTATGAACTTTGCAATCTATTTACATTTATCTATACTAGATTGCAAGATCCCCTCCATTCTTCTGTCAAAAGCTGAACAGTGACACAATTTTAAAACTAGAGTCAAAAGTAATTTGAAACTGTTTGCTTAGTCTATAGAGACCTTTTCGATTAAAATTAATAATTTCTTTAAATGTATTGATTGAATACTCATTGCATATCTCAAATATATTTGATTCTATAAAGAGATGTATTTCAAGTATAAAACTAGTCTGATATTTAATATAAAACAAGAAATTTTTCCATTGAAGAGGAAATACCATGAGATAACTGACATAATCATTAATATAAATAATATAAGAGTCAAGAGTTTGTATCTGTTATGGCAATCCACTCCTGCCTATTACTAATTACATATGGACTTAAGTAGATTTGTGATTAATATGATGAAAACTGACAATGCTTATTATTGATGTGATTTTAAACTAGATCTTGGAACACCCACTTGAGTACAATTTTGCAAGAATCCATTTATCTTTGAAAAGACAAGAAAATACACACGTGAATCATTTTGTATGGGAAATGTACAGTTCCTAAGCGAGCCTGGGATTTTTCACATGCTATTTTCAATATAAGGCAACATCAATACAAATGTAGAATGTTATAATTGAATTTCATAAATGAAATATATGGTACCCGGTATCCTATTTTTAGAAAAGATACTTGGGATTTCACAGGCAGGTTGTAAAAGGGCTCATCGGCTAATCAGACTAGGAGTCGTCAAGGGGAGAGGTTGATAAGAATAACTGTTTTAATTTATTAGCTCACTACCTATAACCGCTAATAATTTATGCCCCCAGCTCGGTGACGACGCTAATTTGATATAAACTATTATACGATTTTTTTGTCCGTGGAAAGGGGTGGGGGAAAATGAAACCTCCCGGGTGGCTCAAGTCTAGCAGCTACGCCACTTTGTGGGGGTGGGGGCGCTATTTACTATTATAGATGTTGCAGTCCTAAATTCTCCTTCTTATATAACATGTATTTATGATGTAGGCCTATATATATATATTACATAGGCCTGCCTATATCATAAAGGTTCTCAAAAAAAAAAAAAAAAACAAAAAAAAAATATTACAAAGGCCTGCCTATATAATAAAGGTTCTCAAAAAAAAAAAAAAAAACCAAAAAAAAACATTTATACATTTTTAAACTGCAACAACTGTAACCTGTATTTGTAAATTTTAGTAAAGGAAATTTATTTCCGGGTTAAAATTTCGTCAACACAATAAGTTGAAGAAGCATGGCTCTTCTTGCTGAACCTAAAAGAAAAGCTAAGTTCGGACTTGATCCGCGGAATACAAACTGGAGCAATGGTATTATGAAGTACTTATTTTATTGTTAAATAATCCGCTAAATTTAGGATTAAAGTATATGTTAATGTTGTAAACCTAAACGAAGAAATGGTGTGCACCTCGCTGCTGACTTGCTAGACTGCCTATACTATCTAGATACTTTGGTAAAAAATGTAAACATTTTGTAAAAATAAACCAATGGCACAGTTGAATAGAGCTAATTTTTTTTACAGAATTATAACACCAAAATCATATTTTTAGCTGTTGTAGTTTTAAAGTTATGAATTTTTAAAGTACGACTTGGTTTGTCCTTTTTTAACATTAACATGGTAGTAGATACTTTGGTCAAAAATGTAAACATTTTTAAAAAATAAATCAATGGCACAGTTGAATAGAGCTAATTTTAAACAGAATTATAACACCAAAATCATATTTTTAGCTGTTGTAGTTTTAAAGTTATGAATTTTTAAAGTACGACTTGGTTTGTCATTTTTTAACATGGACTGCATCTCCACATTCTGTGACCTCAATCCACTGATCGCGTCATGCGCAATGACTATATAGTTTATATAAGGCAACGCATTCCCTATCACTAAAATACTGTTTAGGGTCGACTTATTTTAAACTTTCAACTTTGGCACATGAATAATTAATAAAAGCTTTCCCTGACCAATGGTTTAATAGCTTTTGCACACGGCAAACTCTTATGAATGAAACTCTGAGATAGTACTACGACGTAGCCGTTATGCAAGTGGCTGTGAATGGTTGCCAATGACAACGTGTTGCACAGGGAAAATTCTGATCATTTATAATATGGACTCTGCAGGGTTTTTAAAGCTCAAATTAAAACATTTCCAGTTTAAATGTCTTCAAAATGCATTCTGAAACACAAAATATAAAATATTTTGATGTATATAGTGGTAATAATTAAATATTTCCTAAGTATCGGCAACTTCCGCCATTAAAAAGGGGGCGTGGCCCACGCCATGTCGAAATTAGGCTGAGCCACCTTATGGTGATATGGGTCACTGTGACAAGTGTAACAAACGTGAGACACGACCTACATCAATGAAACTTGGCACAGATATAGATCAATATCTAATGCTCATACAGATTTAATAAAAAAGGACCTTATCTTATTATTTCACAAAAAATTTTGTATGCGAAGATGCCTTATATATACCAAAGATTTTCAAAATAAAGGTCGATTGAAAAAAGCAAAATAGCTGGCTAGAAATGTAGGCCAAGATGTCTTCCAAATTATAAGGCCGGAAACGGAACTCAAATATATGTGGAAAGAACTAATTTAATAATAAATAGACACACACATCGGAAAATTAAAAACTCGGATTTTTCGGCGCCGACAGCCATTTCCGATACAAAAAAAATAGTAGTCTCCCTTGTTTCATCGAAGTATCTAAACATGGACTGCATCTCCACATTCTGTGACCTCATTCCGCCCATCCCGTCATGCACAATGACTATATAGTTTATATAAGGCAACGCATTCCCTTATCACTAAAATACTGTTTAGGGTCGACTTATTTTAAACTTTCAACTTTGGCACATGAATAATTAATTAAAGCTTTCCCTGACCAATGGTTTAATAGCTTTTGCACACGGCAAACTCTTATGAATGAAACTCTGCGATAGTACTACGATATAGCCGTTATGCAAGTGGCTGTGAATGGTTGCCAATGACAACGTGTTGCACAGGGAAAATTCTGATCATTTATAATATGGACTCTACAGGGTTTTTAAAGCTCAAATTAAAACATTCCAATTTAAATGTCTTCAAAATGCATTCTGAAACACAAAATATAAAATATTTTGATGTATATAGTGGTAATAATTAAATATTTCCTAAGTATCGGCAACTTCCGCCATTAAAAAGGGGGCGTGGCCCACGCCATGTCGAAATTAGGCTGAGCCACCTTATGGTGATATGGGTCACTGTGACAAGTGTAACAAACGTGAGACATGACCTACATCAATGAAACTTGGCACAGATATAGATCAATATCTAATGCTCATACAGATTTAATCAAAAAGGACCTTATCTTATTATTTCACAAAAAATTTTGTATGCGAAGATGCCTTATATATACCAAAGATTTTCAAAATAAATTCGATTGAAAAAAGCAAAATAGCTGGCTAGAAATGTAGGCCAAGATGTCTTCCAAGTTATAAGGCCGGAAACGGAACTCAAATATATGTGGAAAGAACGAATTTAATAATAAATAGACACACACATCGGAAAATTAAAAACTCGGATTTTTCGGCGCCGACTCCCATTTCCGATACACAGTGATACACAAAAAGCAGTAGTCTCCCTTGTTTCATCGAAGTATCTACATATAGTAATTTACATTTCAATTATTTTGTAACCTCTCCTCCACTCTGACTCTAAATACTAACCACTCAACTATAGACTATTGTTTAGAATGAAATCATATGCTGAGTATAAGTCATAAGTGTAAGATAAGCGCTGTCACAGCATGTATACAACTTACAAGGCACTATATTATCACTTTAAAAGTGTTCAATCATCGTCATAATAAAACTTGGGGCTGATTTTGGGTTTAAAATTAGCGGTAAGGCCGGCTGTATTTTTGTCATGGCGTCGCAACCCCCCCCCCCCCCCCCCCCCGTCAACTTCCATACGTAATAGTGCCGTATAATACTGAGTTATCCAATATTTCCTATGCTATTGTCGCTATTAATGCATTGATGCCCATTTCCAATGCAAATTAAGTAGTGGTTTCCAAAGTTTTTGCATACGGTACCGGTACTTGGATCTTGAACTAATTAAAAGTAGGTACTTCGCTAAGCTGCGAGCACCGGTTGATTTTTTGGATGCGAGAAACAGACCATTAACCGGCGACCGGATTTTCACAGACTGATTTTTTAAAATTATTTAAATTGATTGTTTTAGTGGCTATCTGTTCATTTCTTGCTACAATGGAGCCAAGCTGTTCAGCAACATACCACTCAGATTTACTGATAGTAAAGCCCTAGAATAATTTCAATTTTAGTAATTGCCAGTCATATTGAAATCTGATAAAACAAACATTACTACCGTATTCTAATACTGAAGACCTGATTGAGACAGTGTATGGAGGAGAATAATTTTGATTAAAACAGGTTGAAATATGTTTAATGATTAATGTATCACTTTCCTCCAGTAAAGGAGGCATTGCCCTGTCCAATGGGTAAAAAACATTTATTAGCAACAGGGAGAAGATTTTCCAAAAAAGAACTACTGTCTATTGATTCTAATCCTAATGGTAGAAGCATTGTTATAATAGCCAATCGTCACACTGCTGGCACGTCATCAAAATCTGTGTACCATAATGTTGCCAACATGTTCTAATTTTTGTTTAACCTCTTTGTAAAACTATTAACACATTAATCAAGTTGTCATGTAAAAGTAAATTTTATGATCCTACACTTAGTACCTTTTTTTAAACTTTATTTGCAGATGATAATAAAATTGGCCAGCGGCTCATGGAGAAAATGGGATGGGAAAAGGGGAAAGGTTTGGGTGCTAATGAAGATGGTATGAAAGAACACATTAAGGCCAGTTACAAATCAGACAGCAGAGGTAAGTTCTGCTCATGTGTTGTCAATTACTGCATTAAACTTTTAAAATATTTGTATTAATCAAGTCTGAAAAACATTTTAAGCAAGCATAACAAAAAAATCATTATTAAAAACTAGCTTAATTTTGAACATGCTGGAGATTTTTAAATAAATATTTTTACAGCCTTATTTTTTGTTCTGGTCAGGTCTTGGCTTTACTGCAAAGGATGCAGATGCATGGATCGCCCACCAGGATGATTTCAATGAATTACTGAAGACCTTGAATTCACAAAGTGGACCAGAAGAGCCTAAAGAGAAAATAAAAGAGGAGCAAAGGCCACCTGATGGACAAAAAAGATAGCAAGTGTTAATCTCAGTCAAATTTTAGTATTTACCAGTCATAATTTTTGTAGATTAGTAGTAAGAGGTTTTAGGGTTTTGTGACTTTAAGAAAGAAAGATTTCCCAATATTTTCCAGATACAACTCGATATTGATGTCACCATTTTCTTGTCATGATTCTTTGGGGATTACATAAGCGGTGACCTACATAAGCTTATTATAATTTTCAGATTAAGCTATTTAGTTCTACATTGCTAGAAAAAAAATATCAGATTTTCTTTGTACCATTTAAAAGTAATTAAAATTAAACAGGATAGTTTCATAAATGAAAGATTTACATTTTAAAACTTCAAATTGTTGTGTGTGAGTAACCAGCTAAGTAATTTGCTTCCGATTTTCTCCATTTGTTGTTTCAATTTATTCTTTGGCTGCAACCTGAAAATTTAATTTGATTGCTTACAGCCTTCAAGTTCAAGGCCAACTTTCTTATCTAAATAAATATTTGTCTCTCCTTAGCCGTGGACGCTTTGCACGGGGGAGTGTGCAGACACTGAGGAGCGTTGAGGATCTTGACTGCATATTTGGTAAACGGAAGAGCAAGACAAATGTATGTCTAAGAGTTTCTTATCATGAAGTTTTTTTTTTTATTTATTTATTAAATGTGTATATAATAAATGTTTACAGTCTATTTTCACGCAGTTCAAAATTAAAATTTTTGTTACAATTAAATGTTGAGAAGAGGTAACATGGGATTACGATGATTTATTTTATTTAAATCATATTTCGTTGATCAGAGTAGCTCTACTAAGTCATGATCTCAGCTCATAATTCTCTGTTTGTGAGCATGTTTTTTATTCAGATTTTCTTTCATAGGAAATGACTTTTCGTCTTTATTTTCTGTGTTCATACAGAATGATACTGAGGCTGAGGAGAATAAGCATGGACTTACCTCCGTCACAAGCACTTCGAGTGTTCAGGAGTATTTTGCAAAGAAGATGGCTGAGATGAAGGCGAGGAAGGAAAGCTCCACTAAAATAGACGATGATGAAGTAAACATGGGCAGACAGTCCACATCTGGGAAAGAAGCATTGGAGAAAAGGGTACCACCATTGTATGGAAACGTTATGTTCAGCTATGACGAAAATGAGGCAGACAAGGAGTGCGACAATCCAGAAAAAGATTCAGACACAAAACTTGACCGAGGTTGGTATCAGGAGTGGCCAGGAGAAAACAAGCCGGAACAAGAGAGTGAAACAAGGAAGAAAAAGAAAAAAAGGAAAGATAAAAATCCCTCGATAGATTCAAATGTAATTGAAACTGAAGTGTGGAAAGAGTCGGTCGAGTCTGAAGAGGTGGTCACTGGGACCACTAAAAAAATTAAAAAGTCAAAAAAACATAAAAAGGAAAATATAGATGTTGTCAATTCAGAGGAGGGGCGAAATATTAAGATATCAAGCTCAGGTATCAATAAATATAATGGCAATGATCAAGTAGGTGAACTTGCTGAGACGAGAGGATGTTCCAAGAGCACTAAGAAATCGAAAAAGAATAAAAGCATTGAAAGAGATGATCAGAACTCATCAAAACTAATAAAGGACAAAGATAATGACCTAGTTAATGGTCTGGGGGTGAGTGAATGTGATGGAGGAGGGGGAAGCTGTGATATGGAGCAAACTGATTTCAAAAATTCTAAAAAGAATAAGAAAGGAGTGCTTGACGGGGCAGAGAGCTCTGGAAAGCAAAACGATGTGCAGGATCCTGAGAGCACAGAAAATAGGAAGAAGATAAAAAGAAAGAGAGACCGTTCCAACGTGGCTGATGGTGTCACTGATGCAAACCAGGATGCTGATTCTGCAAGCAGAGATCTAGATGCTGAGAACGTGGAAAAGAAAAAAAAGAAAAAGGATAAACAAAATCAAACTTGTTTAGAAGAAAAACTGTTTGATGATTCGACAGCAGATAAGGAAGCTGAAAAAAAGAAAAGCAAAAAGAGAAAACGCGAGGATTCAGAAGTGAGCGATGTGAAAGCTAATTGCATTAAGTCAGCTGTGGATCAGAAATGTGAAGCAGGTAATCAGTCTGTGGATCAGAATGTTGAAAGTTCTGTTATAACAAGGACTCTCGGGATAGATAAAAAGAAGAAAAAATTGAATCGTAAGAAAGTAGTAAAGGAAAAAATCAAAAAGCAAAAGGCGGCTGAAAACAGCATTTTTCCTGGCTCTAATCTATCAGACATCAATGGCTATGCAATGGCAAGGAGAGCTAACCATTATGTACACATTGTAAATAAACCTAACACAAAAAAGAGAAGTGCAAAAAAAGGGGGGTCAAAGTGAAAGACAAACAGGTTTTAAAGAGAAGTTAGTCGACAAATTTGTCAGTTGTTGGAAAAATGTGTCTCTTCAACTGACTGCTTATAAATGGCCATCTGTTAGAGTTAGCGGTAGCATTTCAGTGTTCTACAATCCCAAGGATTCTGATTAGTGAGAAGTTATATCAATTAGGCACACAGAGACTAAGATCAGAAGTTGAATGGTCTTGTTGATTAGATTTGATCTGTTTGGACAACATGGCATGACATACGTTTGGACAACATGGCATGACATACACTATGATACACAGAAATAAACAAAGAAAAGTCTGTACTTTGGTTTAATTTTAATATTTTTGGTTTAATTTTGATATTTAATTAAGTTCACAAAGAACAAATTTCAATGGTACAAACAAAATAAAAGTTATGTGTACCTGCAAAAGCTGTTAAGCTTCATAGAGGCGTAGAAAATATTCTCACTTTTCTACTTTCTTAGGCTTGCAAATGCATTTGAGCACAAGTACTGTACCGGTACAGGAAAAAGTTAATAATAAACATGTACAATACCGGTATATCACTTGGAACTGCAGACAAGATGATCCACAACATAAATATTCACACATAAATGAGTCACTAGAAAACATGGCAATGCAAAGTGTGAAATAAATGGCTGTTGGTCCCAAAAGAGTAATAAATTATTTCTATAAGTATAAGAACGCGGGAGAGGGGGGGGGGGGGTGTTTGCAAATAAGTACCATAATGGTAAACAAATTGCATGAGCTTCTACAATAGGCCTACCCCTGAGAATCCAAATTTGAAATCGGATAAAAGAGTAAAAAATTATTTCTATAAGTATAAGAACGCGGGAGAGGGGGGGGGGGGGTGTTTGCAAATAAGTACCATAATGGTAAACAAATTGCATGAGCTTCTACAATAGGCCTACCCCTGAGAATCCAAATTTGGCAAGCTGTAAGTGTAAGTTAAGTTATAACATACTAATTAAGTTACTAGATACTAGTGACTTCAGAGTTAACAAATTGTATTCCTTGTGGGATTATTGGCATTAAAAAAAGGTACTGGTTGTATAGGACCAGACTAACAATGTTCTGTATTAAATTTTCTTGAATTGATATGTAAAAATAGAAACAAATTTATTTATAACCCCTTTGATTTTGTTCACATGGGATAATTCATTCTATCCAAAAAAAGCAAAATTGAAAGAATTTGTCCACAAATGACCAGTGAAAAACAATTTTTCTTCAGTTCAGAGAAAGTTAGCCAACCAAACAACATGCTGGATCCAGAAAAGCAAAGAAAGATACATCAATCTGTAAGCTAAGAAAATTAAATTACCGGTATTGTTGTATTGGTAGAGAAAACTGCAGCAAGCATACTATATTTAAACTCACAGGAATTAAGGTTTTAAAAAAAAAATACACTGTAAGGGAATGGCAATTTATTTGCCAGAGAAATAAATTGTTTGGCTACAACTTCTTTAGTCTACATGATGCAATCACTGCACAGTTTACCATTGCTATTGTAAGCTTATTGTCTATGTCAGGATTGTGGTCCATGTCTGTGATCGATTTGAAGGAGATTTTCTGATACTTTTTCCCTTGCATATTAATTTTATAAGTATAAGCAACAACAAATGAAAACTTGTAGATTGTAATCATGTATGAAAAGAAAATTTTAAAAGATACTATTAATTATGTGCCCCAAGTAATCAAATTTCATTGTCTAGACCTAGTGACTTTTCTACTACCGCTACATTAAAGATATAATAAATTGTCAGATAAAACTGCTGAAGGTGCTAATGAGCCTTCTCTGATTTTTCTATGGTACCGGTACCAGGTACTGGATATTATTTCAATCTTGAATTGGAGGTTGAAAAGAGGCTTAAGACAGAAATGCATTTTTTTGTTAAATCTTGATTTAAAAAATAAAAACTTAAAAATAATGTTATCATTTAACATAAAGATGAATATTACAAAAAATGAAACCTGTCAAAATACTCAGAGGGCACATTAAAGCTCATTACGATTGTTGTTATTTAAATTTCCATTAAAATATCTAATCATTTACACAAATAGTGTTAAAAATATGGGTTTTTGAAATATTATAAGTCATTTTTTGGGATCTTAAAAAAATTCTCTTTTAACATTTTTCATATTATTAGGTTCAAAATGATTGTTCATATTTACTATAAACATAGTTATTTGCACACAAAAAAAGCATCACAAAAAGCATAACTATGCTGTAAAAGTAAAAGAGGACAAGAATGCAAACATGGGTTTATTAATATTGATTTATAAGCACATTAGAAAATCCCCAAAATTTTATGAGTTTGTGATTCAAATTTATCACATTAAAAAAGAAATGAGTTCTCACATAATAATAATAAAAATATCCCATAAAAAGTTGTCTTAAAAGCAATATTATGACATAATTATCACATATTTATGTAAATATTATAGAAACTTCAAAGGCATTACTGTGTTTTGATTGTCACTCATTATTCTTTATAAAACATACATTACATTTCCTATTTAAAAAAGCATCATGCAACAAACAGAGGCAATACATTTTTTTTTTTAAATTTAGACACTAAAACTAAAAGATCCAAATACAATCCATCACATTATTTAACAAATGTTTTTTAACACACTTCATCTCATCTATGTGCACACAAAAAATGCTATCATCTTATATTTAATCAAATAAAGTCAAAACTTTATCGAGTGAACAAAATACTGCAGCATGCATTGTATCGCTTATAAAGAAATCTGAGCACATCACCCCAGTTCCTAAAGATCCTCACTGACTTCCTGTGAGTGAGCGCATTGACCACACAATTCTGTCCCTGGCGTATAGCTGTATAGAAGGCTCTGCACCTGAATATCTTCAAAAACTGATGTCTAAACATGTATCTTACAGTTGCAGTACCTGTGCTCTTCAACACAGTCCTTGCTGAGGGTTCCCAGTGTGAATTGACACAGAAAGAAGTCATATGGAGTGCGCTCTTTTGAAGCTATAGCACCTAAATTACTGAACACTTTCCCTTAATCTTTGAGGGAAATTGAAAATGATAAAAAATCATTTAAAGACTTCTTTCTTTAAAAAGATTGTAAGGACATCAGCGTGCTGTGAGCATGTTAAAATAGCATGGACGAAAGCGCTATAAAAGAATTCAATCATCATCACCAGTAATTTAGAAAATGCACCAATCACTCAAATCATTCATGGTATGGAAGGTGTGGTAAGCTAAAGCTACGACCAGGACAAAGCCTGAATGTAGGTGCCCTTTTTCCACAAAAAAGTAAATATCAATTAACAAATTTAACATGGATAATGACAATTTTGGTGCCCTGTTTAGATGACGCCTGAGGTGGCTGCCCCATTTATCCCTTTGCACAGCCCTGAAATGTTTAATATATTCTTAATAATAACAGGCAGTACTTTCAAAGTTTCTGTAAGTTGTAAGGTGCTAAATTATTTTGAAACCATTTTTTTTTTTTTTAAATTCTAGTTTTCAAAGTAATTCTGTTTTAAGCAGAAACTAAAATTATGTGTCAAACGAAATGCTGAAAATTATGTAATGATTTGAAAATGATGGCTTTAAAACAAATTCCTTGTACCTGAATAAAGATTTTAATTAATGTCTTTGTATCAAATACTTTAAATAGGTTTATTGTTGATGGCACTTTGAATTCACAACATTTTAGTTAAATTACAAAAAAAATCCTCAGATTCTCAGAGTTCATGGCAAATACACACGTCATTCATCACAGATAACTGATTCCTCCTTGAAACTTAACAATGCCAAACACATGAACAGGTTACACCACCTCCAAGTCTCGTCTCTGTGAGCTAGCTGGTGGGTTCCAATTGATTACAAAAAGTCGAAAAGCCCTGACAACAATGGCTACCTGATTTAAATAGATAAAGACATTTCATAAAATATATTCTTGTTACTATCCTTCAATACCGGTGCTGTACATGGAGAGATTACTGTTGTATCTAGCAGCAAATCCTAGTTTTTAATATTGCACTCTCGTTATTTGATGAATACCGTACTGACAAAGGATAATTTATAAATTACACAAATAACTGATTATCATTTAAATAACTTTTAATAAATTTAAATAATGACAGAATCAAAAATTTTATTGGGTTTACTTTTAATCAATTTTTTTTTATATACTTTCAAACAGGACATTTAAAACCCTTAGAAAATGTATGAATTACATGTATTTATCTATTAACATTTATCATTGCATTTAACAAAATTATTTGAATGAACTCATCCCCAATAATGAAATAGCAAGCTATTTAGCCTATAAACGCTGAAAGTTAAAAATTCATACCAACATGACTGATGTATATTTACCTGGGTCATAATAACTCCTAAAAGTCTCACAAGAGGTTCTAAAGCTTGAGACAGGGCATTAAATGTGTTCCACAGCAGGGCAAACAGTGGCTGCACAATAACATTAAAGATAAGTGTGAAGAGAGGTTTTAGCAAGTAATCTCCAATTGATCGAATTGAGTCCAAGACCAATGGCCGAACAATATGATGAGCCAGGAAAAGGATCAGCTCCACCACAAACAGAATGAAGATTGATGTAACGATTCGAAGTACTGCAAACACTTCCCTCCAGGCACGGCGAAACAATTTTTCCCACCTGTAAGTTGTTTTTTCAAAATTTAGACCAGTTATTAAATATGCTTTAATAATTTTTAAACATTTAAAATTATTTAAATGTCTTTTTTCCTTAAGGTATATTCTGATAAATTGTAAAGGAAAGACAGTGAATTTCTAGGCAGGAATTGGTTTCATACATTAATATATGGGGTTTTTCTATATAGCTACTAAAATTATATCTTTCTTCATTGCTTTAAATGTACAAAATTTGAGTAAAGCACATTCTTCTGACTGAGTAAATCTTTTTTTTACTGACACGCTTAGCCTTACTCACTCATCAACTTTCCCTGGCAAGTAGGCATTGATTTCATCTTCTGAGATCTCAACAAAATGTGGACTCCCTTCTTCAAAGTAGAAGATGCAGCTAATAGAAAGAAAAAGAAATTAAAATTAGGATGGGACTTAGGGTATTTTCATTTAATGCTAGAGGGGGCTGTTATGCTCTTCTTAGGGTATTTTAATTTAATGCTAGAGAGGGCTGTTATGCTCTTTTTACTGTCTTCAATCTTTCTTCCTCCCAACCCAACCCCATCATCCCATAAAACAAAACAAAAAACAATCAACTAAGATTATGTTAAATTTTATGTATGTTTCTTAACTCCATGTGAAGATGCCATCAAAGCTTGGATGAAAATAATCATCTTTTACCTTTTTCCTGTGGCATCTTTTATAATGAGTTGAGTTGCTGGGATTCTTCCCC